CATATGGTAAATATGAGGGTGAGCTACAGCTAGGAAGGCTGAAATCAGAAAACGGTTCAAAACAAATTCAATACAAAATGTGTCATATGGTGACAAATGGCATGCAAAGCAAGGAAGGCTGAAGTCTTAACTCCAAGATGTATGGTTAATAGCACTCAAAGCTATGGAGAGCACACAAAATGTGGGATACAGTGACAGCATGCAAATATTTCAAGGATTGTATAACCAAACCTAAATGCCATGCAAAGCTAGGAAAAGCTATAACCTAGAAGACATAATGGTAAGTCCCAGGCAAAGCTAGGATGGCCTGAAATGGTCTTAAAATTATACTATTTTATACTATACAACCTCCAGAGTGGCGCAGTGGTCTAAGGCACTGCATCGCAGTGCTAGCTGTGCCACTAGAGATCCTGGTTCGAATCCAGGCTCTGTCGTAGCTGGCTGCGACCGGGAGACCCATGGGGCGGCGCACAATTGGCCCAGTGTCATCCAGGATAGGGAAGGGAATGGCTGGCAGGGATGTAGCTCAGTTGGTAGAGCATGGCGTTTGCAACGCCAGGGTTGTTTGTTTGATTCCCATGGGGGGCCAGTATGAAAAAATATATATATGTATGCACTCACTAACTGTAAGTCACTCTGGATAAGAGCATCTGCTAAAATGTAAATTTGCTGGTACAATAAATGCTGGAATGTGTTATCTGATTGATAGCAGGTAAAGCTACAGTAGGAGGACTTAAATGTACCATGTTTACATTTAGCAGACACTCTTATCCAGAGCGACTTACAGTTAGTGAGTGCATACATTTTTCATACTGGCCCCCTGTGGGAAACGAACCCACAACCCTGGTGTTGCAAGCGCCATGCTCTACCAACTGAGCTACAGGGGACCATGATGGAATGCTTTGAAAGACCAACCACAAAACTTTATTTTACAGTGAATAAATAACAGAATGACCAAGGGTTACACGGCACTGTACAACTAAATTACATACATATTAAGTTATAGTTGTGCAAATTACTACACTACAATGACTAGTGGGTCAACATTTCTTACTGTACCTGGTTATACGCACAGGGTCGCGATCCCAACCTGTCAATATCAAAAGAAATTACTTCCCAAATTGGCCCATTATTATTTGTCATTTTAGCAGACACTCTTATCCGGAGCGACTTAAAGGAGCAATTAGGGTTAAGTGCCTTGCTCAAGGGCACATTGACAGATTTTTCACCTAGTCGGCTCGGGGATTAGAACCAGTGACCTTTCGGTTACTGGCACAACGCTCTTAACCACTAAGCTACCTGACTGCATTAGCCGACACATGTTCCAGCATAAGTTCAAAGTTTGTATAACATTACATTTGCAGAATGAGAGCAAGCTCTTTCTGAAATACATAACATTTACAAGCTTCCAGCTCCATTGATGTAAACACGATAATATGCTATGCCACGCAAAGCTAGCATAGCACTGCATCAATTGTACAAGCAGTGCTGTCATTTCAGGACCATGGACAGAATGTGTGTGTAGGCATGAGTAACTGCCCATGGTCCTGAAATTACAGTGTTACTTACCTACCATAGCCATAATGGAATATTTGTAATCAGTTCTGCCAAAATGTTCAGCAATATAGCTCGGTAAAATCATTATGCACCTATTTAACCTCTTAAATGTAAGGTCCCCATATTTGGGGACCCTATTAGATTTGTTTTATTCAATTCAGTCTGGTATGAGAACTGTAGCCCATCTCTGCAAAAGCAGAGTGTCTGCGGAAAGCTGAGTATCTTGGCTATTGAACCGTGCCTTAAAATCTTCGGTGTGACTTACTACCATATATGGGTATAAAATGCAGTTGACCTGGGTGGGAAAAAGCAAGGCCTAGAAAAGGGTTCTTCAATTCCGGTCCTGGAGGGCCGAAACACCTCTGTTTTTCATCCTCTCCTTCTAATCAGGGGCTAATTCAGACCTGGGACACCAGGTGAATGCAATTAACTACCAGGTAGAAATAAAGAACAGAAGTGTTTCGGCCCTCCATGACCGGAATTGAAGAACCCTGTCCTAGAACCTGCGTAATGTGAACTATTGCTACCCGGCTCAGAGACGAGACGCACCGTGCACTCTACATTGTAAACAGATGTCATCGCTTTAATTTACTCGCATAAAAGATGGCTTCGCAAGGGGGGTAAAAAAAAAGGTAAAACTAAGAATATCGAACAGGAAGCTAAAAAGAAGGCAGCTATGAATAAGTATACCGACATAGAAGCTTTGAACAAAATACTGATCGGACTCGGATCAGGGGAGCGATTTGGACAACGAGTATTTCGACTCGGCCGATGAAGATTGCTTTCTAGAAGGATCGGATCCACTTTTAGATCTGTAAGTAAATTATTTTCATGACTTGATATAGCTAATTTACTATATGTATTTCGTTTTTTATAAGTTGTCTGCTTTTTGTGCTTTGCATTTAGTTTACATAGGCCGATGTAACAAGTAATTTCAATGTTATATAATTCCAAAGTAGTTATTGTCTATGTTTCATATTAGTTAACTGTTTCCTTTTAAATTTCATCCTTTTTACTTTAGAGGCCACTAAATTCTCATGGCCATTGTTTATTTGTGGTTCTCACCTCTGCCTATGTCTCCAAAGTGTTACTGTTTGCATTGTGTGCTTAACACCTTCTATGTGAGTCACTGTACAGATAAAGTTTAGGCTTGGTGTTTTTACTTTACAGTAATGTCGTTTTGTAAATGTAGTCAACTGTAAATCTGTGTGTGTCTTACAACAATATATCCCTTTATTTTATTCACCACAGAGTGGGGGATGCAGAGGATTTGGATGATGACATTTTGGAGCCACCCCTACCCAGCAACGCCGGTCAAGGTCTTCACCCCCCACTGCTATGTCAATCACCCCATCTGATGGTTCTACATCCACTTTTCATAGACCGCTTGAAAAAGGAAATAGGGGCTTGTGGCACCATTCGTCCTAACAGAATGTGTTTCCCCAAGACCAAGGTAAACGACATGACAAAGACAGCGGAGAGAGGGACCATACGTTGGATCAGGACTAACAAGCTGCTTTTTATTAAATGGAAGGACACTAGGGAAGTAACCATGCTCACCACACAGCATAAGACATTCAATAACGACCATGTCGAAAGGAGGGTGAAAAAGGAAGAATGTCCCCGTTTCTGTGAAGGACTACAATGCCAGCGTGGGGGGGTGTTGACCTATCTGATGCTCTGATAGGCTACTACCAGGTCCTCCACAAGACCAGGAAGTGGTATAATACTTTTTTTTAACCACTTTGTGGACATTGCTACAGTAAATGATTGCATTCTCTACAAGCAGATGGCCAAAGCAAAAGGTCAAACCCCTCTCTCCCAGTTGGCCTTCTGAGAGCAGCTGGTGTTGGAAATGGCTGAATTGGGGGCCCAAAGCAACCTCACAACCATCACAAGTGGTATAATACTCAAGGTGAGCGCCACTATCCAACACACATGCCAAAAGATAGAACTGCAAGCATTGCACAAAACACAGGGGGGAAAAAGGGTGAAATGCCAGATCTTCTGTCCGAAATGCCAGTTCGCTTTTTGTTTCCTGGCAGAGAGGGACTGCTTCAAAGACTATCAAGACATGCACAAGCCAGGGTGAAAGTGAAATCTAATCATCTACACCTGGGATGTAAAACGAACACAACAGCCATTTGTAAATAGTTGCGCTTATTTCTATTTTTGCACCTTTTTTAGTGAAGGACACGTGTGTAACCAAGTTTGTGTTTGATAAGACATTTGTATATATTTTTTATGTACAATACCAGTCAAAAGTTTGGACACACCTACTCATTCAAAGGTTTTTCTTTATTTTTACTATTTTCTACATTTTCTAAACGTTCAGGCACTTTGGAGAGGTTGAAAAAACATCCCCTGTATGTCCCCCGACACACCACAATGTTTGAGAGAGGTTGGTGTTGTAGAAATTTAGTTTTTATAGTGAGCAATAACTTTTAGGCAAAAACTGTGCAATTACCACATTCGGACACTTTGGAGAGGGTGAAAGGACACTTGATTGTACCCTGGATACCCCATAACACCACCACAATGTTTGAGTGGGGTTGATATGGTAGAAATTGTGTTTTTATAGTGAACAAATAGCATTTAGGGATTGCAAATATGTAATAGCACTGGAATGATCTAATTTACAGCCACTTTGGAGAGGTTTAGGGACACTTGGAAACGTCCTGTGACCACACCTGACACCACTTACTAAAACATCTGCCCATTTCTAGTTGTTAGGTCTATCAATCCCATTTTTTTGTCTGATATTGTTCACATGTTGTGGAAGCCATCTGATGTGTTTCCAGCTCTGGGAATCAATAATTCACTCATAGCTTGTCAAAGAAAGATGACTTTCAAAATAAAAAAACAGTTATTTTGTGTGTGCTTGATCTTGTGTATTCTGAACTATGTAACTCCTATCTATCTTCTGATCATTTCCTCATAATCTCCCATATGTCTTCTTTCCAAATTGACCAAGTTTTGGCATGTCAGAATCATGTAATTACACATGAATAGCAGTTACTTTTGGGTATGTCTATTTAGGCGGAAATCAAAATTTTGCCGTTACATTTAAGAGGTTAAAATTAATATACAGAACTAAACATTAATAAACGAAAGGAATGATGGCTAATATTATTGCCTTCTGAGACAAATAGATTTTTAGCCTCAGCCTCTGATGCTAAATTAAACTGAAAGATTGCTTATCTTTGCGACTGGTTTGAGATCAGTCTTGGGAGTAAATATATGATGCCATTTGGTACAGCAAATTACTTCTGGAAGGATGTGCGATATTTTACCTTACGGAACCATTAGTTTCAATACAAAACTTGTGTGATGCATGTGGGGGGTTGGGATATATACCAATTTGGTAGCTGTTCTTCCAATAAAGTGTGTGTGTGTGTGTGTGTGACACTCAGACTCATGCATTTGTCTGCTGTTCTCACTACAGACGGAGGGCTCCCGGCTGCAGAGGGAAATGAAGGCATACCTGGCGGCTGTGAAAGGTGAGGCACACACACGTACGCACACATACCTGGCAGCTGTACAAGGTAAGCGTCTGCAGAGCAAATGCTTACGCAAGAGACACATTCACTCACAGGTGAAAACACACACATACAGTGCATTCAAAGAAAAAAAAATCTATGCACTCACTAACTGTAAATCTCTCTGGATAGTAGTGTCTGCTAAATAAATAAAATGTAAAATTCGGAAAGTATTCAGACCCTTGACTTTTTCCACATTTTATTGCGTTACAGCCTTATTCTAAAATGGATTAAATTAATGTTTTTCCTCATCAATCTACACACAATACCCCATAATGACGAAGCGAAAACTGGTTTTTAGAATGTTTAGCAAATTTATAACAAATTTTAAACAGAAATACCGTATTTACATACGTATTCAGACCCTTTGCTTTGAGACTTGAAATTGAGCTCAGATGCATCCTGTTTCCATTGATCATCCTTGAGAAGTTTCTACAACTTGATTGGAGTCCACCTGCGGTACATTCAATTGATTGGACATGCTTTGGAAAGGCACACACCAGTTTATGTAAGGTCTCACAGTTGACAGTGCATGTCAGAGCAAATATCTTTCAGAAGGAAAACCATCTCTGCAGCACTCCACCAATCAGGCCTTTATGGTAGACTGGCCAGACAGAAGCTACTCCTCAGTAAAAGGCACATGACAGCCCGCTTGGAGTTTGCCAAAAGGCACCTAAAGACTCTTAGACCATGAGAATCAAGATTCTCTGGGCTGATGAAACCAAGATTGAACTCTTTGGCCTGAATGCCAAGCGTCAGGTCTGGAGGAAACCTGGCACCATCCCTACGGTGAAGGATGGTGGTGGAAGCATCATGCTGTGGGGATGTTTTTCAGCGGCAGGGACTGGGAGACTAGTCAGGGTCGAGGGAAAGATGAACGGAACAAAGTACAGAGAGATACTTGATGAAAACCTGCTCCAGAGCTCTCAGGACCTCAGACTGGGGCGGAGGTTCTCCTTCCAACAGGACAACGACCCTAAGCACACAGCCAAGACAACGCAGGAATGGCTTTGGGACAAGTCTCTCAATGTCCTTGAGTGGCCCAGCCAGAGCCCGGACTTGAACCCGATCTAACATCTCTGGAGAGACCTGAAAATAGCTGTGCAGCGACGCTTCCCATCCAAACTGACAGAGCTTGAGAAGATCTGCAGAGAGGAATGGGAGAAACTCCCCAAATATACATTACCATTCAAAAGTTTGGACACACCTACTCATTCAAGGGTTTTTCTTTATTTTTACTATTTTCTACATTGTAGAATAATAGTGAAGACATCAAAACAATGAAACAACACATATGGAATCATTTAGTAACCAAAAAAGTGTTAAACAAATTAAAATATATTTTATATTTGAGATTCTTCAAAGTAGCCACCCTTTGCCTTGATGACAGCTTTGTACACTCTTGGCATTGTCTCAACCAGCTTCATGAGGTAGTCACCTGGAATGCATTTCAATTAACTGGTAGTGTAGGTGTGCCACGCTTGTAGCGTCATACCCAAGAAGACTCGAGGCTGTAATTGCTGCCAAAGGTGCTTCAACAAAGTACTGAGTAAAGGGTCTGAATTCTTATGTAAATGTGATATTTCCGTTTTTTCTTCTTAATAAATTTGCTAAAATTTCTAAAAACCTGTTTTTGCTTTGTCATTGTAAGGTATTGTGTGTAGTTTGAGGGGAAAAAAACAATTTAATCAATTTTAGAATAAGGCTGTAACGTAACAAAATGTGGAAAAAGTCAAGGGGTCTGAATACTTTCCGAATGCACTGTACATGCATATGCGCACACACACACACACACACACACACACAAACACGTACACACACACTAGAGCATGGCCGTCGTCTAATCCTATGAACATATGTGCCCTCCCACAAGACTTACAGTATGTGTGCCTATATCTAAACACATACAGTGGAAAGTAAACACGAATAGCAACTGCTTTAATTTGGAAGATCGTTTTATTTTCAGTTCTGAAAGATCTGTGATTTATATCCAGTTCTTAGAATTTTACATAGTGTTTTTCTGTTGCTCCAGCACCTAAGTATTAAGACAGAAAGCCCTCGCATGCCATATTGTGTATGATGCTCGCATGTACTTTCATGAACAGTAACCTATTTACCTACAGTGGGATTCAAAATTATGGACACCTTTGAGAAAGATGAGCAAAAATGTCTGTATAAATAATTCAAATACTGAGCTATATTGTCTGCTCCAAAAAATTGGGAAATTATATTATTTTATAGTAATACACTTGCTGAGAGAAATAGATTTTGTTTAACAAGTAATACTTTTTTTCTCTAAAAGGTAGGGGTCAAAATTATTGACACCCCTGCAGGGCCGTAACTACATGAGAACACCGGCGTCCGGACCTTGGTATTTTTTTCTAATTATATATTTTTTTAAATAATAAAAACATATATTTTGTACACAATAAAGAAAATCAATTACGGGTCAACATCTAAATATTGCTCCCAGTATTGATCAAAGTTCAGAACGCTTATGTTCTTGATCTGACTGAGTTCTAACGCACCTGCGTCTTTGCGAATGAGTGGAATCATGAAAAGTGGTTTGTTCGTTATTTTAGCTTGCGTTCCCCCAGAATTTGCCTACCGGGTTTTCCTTTTTAGCAGCACATTCACCACTCTCTAAAACGGCTAACTCCGCCCTCTCGGCTTGTGACGTGAAACGAACTACCCCAGGTCGGAGTTGTACAGAGGTTGATACAGTGGTTCCCAAACTTGGGGTCTGGGTCCCATGTAGGGTCCCCTGAGAAAATCTGTACTAATCTTATCAAATAAGTTAGGAACTTAAAAAATATATATGTTTCAATATGAACATCTCCACATGGCCTGTCTTCCCAATAGGCCTACATTAAAATGCAATAAAAATTTTAACAATACAGTTCTAAATTTTTTTAGAAGTTTTCATTTATATCGGTGGTTGTTCATCTCAAGGTTAATATTGTAAACTGAAACTAAAACTAAAACAAATAATGAAAAAACAATTTAGGAAACTGATATAAAATAATTGATATATACTGAAACTATTATCTTTGACTCCAAAATGAAATAATTATGTTCAGTTTTAGTTTTTTTGGGGGGCAAAATTCAAATGGATTTTCCAATGGGGTTTTCAAGCTTTTTGTGAGAGAGAGCCTGAAATATCACATGTATTTGTATATATCCACTGTACACATAAATCACGGCAAATTGGTTCCAGTTTAAGTCATGTCTTTGGTCAAATAAAAACACCCTAACCTCTCTAGGTCTAAACCCTTAGATCGCAATATCTACTAAGCTAAGATATGGAATTATTTTAAGGTGGTCATAAAATGGATCATTTAGCCATTTGATTTGGAATTTTAGGACCACTGTAGGGATAAAGAAGATATACACAATCATTTTAAACATTCAATTTGGCCTTTACTGCTATAGCCCATCGAAACGCATTGATAACACATTTGTACACAATGCAGGAAATAGCTGCAGGATAAAGTTGGTGCAGAGCAACTGCAGAAACTTGCAGTCAAAACTTCATGACCTTTGATCACACGATTTTTGTAAAGTTCATGCAGCTGACATGTAGGCGCAAGTCAGACAATTTTCATCCCCAGAATGCAATACAATTTGATTTGACAAAATTGATCCGCTCGAATGCGCCCATTGAGATGAGCACAATGCAAAAGTGTCTGTGCATGTGCACGCTGCTACAGCGTGGTAGTAGCTACAGGACCAAAACAGTGGAGAAATTTAGTCTTGCGCTTCAACGCTCCAGGTTGTTGCTGAAATTTACCCACTACAACTGTTTACTTTGTGCATCTACGTTATCTCACTGAGTCTACTTTTAAACCTGCATTACTGCCCCACACTGGCAAAAAGTGACATCCCCAAAAACACAAAAACTATACAACACATAAATGGCTCCTAGCCTCCCACGCATAGGCGACTTTCTGTCCATAACACTAAAACTGAAACGAAATAATATGAAAACGAAATATAAATGTTTTTATAAAACTTAAACTAAATAAAACTAGTAAAGTGGATCTGAAAACTAACTGAAACTAAACTGAATTTCAAATAAAAATCTGAAAACGTATAGAAATTAAAACGAATATACAGTTGAAGTCGGAAGTTTACATTTTAGCCAAATACATTTAAACTCAGTTTTTCACAATTCCTGACATTTAATCCTAGTAAAAAGTCCCTGTCTTAGGTCAGTTAGGATCACCACTTTATTTTAAGAATGTGAAATGTCAGAATAATTGTAGAGAGAATGATTTATTTAAGCTTTTATTTATTTCATCACATTCCCAGTGGGTCAGAAGTTTACATACACTCAATTAGTATTTGGAAGCATTGCCTTTAAATTGTTTAACTTGGGTCAAACGTTTCGGGTAGCCTTCCACAAGCTTCCCACAATAAGTTGGGTGAATTTTGGCCCATTCCTCCTGACAGAGCTGGTGTAACTGAATCAGGTTTGTAGGCCTCCTTGCTCGCACACGCTTTTTCAGTTCTGCCCACAAATGTTCTATAGGATTGAGGTCAGGGCTTTGTGATGGCCACTCCAATACCTTGACTTTGTTGTCCTTAAGCCATTTTGCCACAACTTTGGAAGTATGCTTGGAGTCATTGTCCATTTGGAAGACCCATTTGCGACCAAGCTTCAGCTTCCTGACTGATGTCTTGAGATGTTGCTTCAATATATCCACATAATTTTCCTTCCTCATGATACCATCTATTTTGTGAAGTGCACCAGTCCCTCCTGCAGCAAAGCACCCCCACAGCATGATGCTGCCACCCCCGTGCTTCACGGTTGGGATGGTGTTCTTCGACTTGCAAGAAACCCCCTTTTTCCAACAAACATAAAGAATGTCATTATGGCCAAACAGTTCTATTTTTGTTTCATCAGACCAGAGGACATTTCTCCAAAAAGTACGATCTTTGTCCCCATTTGCAGTTGCAAACCGTAGTCTGGCTTTTTTATGGCAGTTTTGGAGCAGTGGCTTCTTCCTTGCTGAGCGGCCTTTCAGGTTATGTCGATATAGGACTCGTTTTACTGTGGATATAGATACTTTTGTACCTGTTTCCTCCAGCATCTTCACAAGGTCCTTTGCTGTTGTTCTGGGACTGATTTGCACTTTTCGCACCAAAGTACGTTCATCTCTAGGAGACAGAACGCGTCTCCTTCCTGAGGGGGATGACGGCTGCGTGGTCCCATGGTGTTTATACTTGCGTACTATTGTTTGTACAGATGAACGTGGTACCTTCAGGCGTTTGGAAATTGCTCACAAAGATGAACCAGACTTGTGGAGGTCTACAAAAAAAATTCTGAGGTCTTGGCTGATTTCTTTTGATTTTCCCATGATGTCAAGCAAAGAGGCATTGAGTTTGAAGGTAGGCCTTGAAATACATCCACAGGTACACCTCCAATTGACTCAAATTATGTCAATTAGAATATCAGAAGCTTCTAAAGCCACGACATCATTTTCTGGAATTTTCCAAGCTGTTTAAAGGCACAGTCAACTTAGTGTATGTAAACTTCTGACCCACTGGAATTGTGATACAATGAATTATAAGTGAAATAATCTGTCTGTAAACAATTGTTGGAATAATTACTTGTGTCATGCACAAAGTAGATGTCCTAACCGACTTGCCAAAACTATAGTGTGTTAACAAGAAATTTGTGGAGTGGTTGAAAAACGAGTTTTAATGACTCCAACCTAAGTGTATGTAAACTTCCGACTTCAACTGTAAAAACACAAGACTATAATAACCTTTTGGTTAGTCTTTTTCTAAAATGTTTTATGAGTTGAAGAACACATTGAGAGGGATCTTAGACCATTCCTCCATACAGAATCCTTCCATATCCTTGTATATCCTCGTCTGCGCTTTTGGACTGCCCTATTCAATTCAAACCACAGGTTTGCAATGGGTATCAAGTCCGGGGACTGAGATGGCCATTGCAAAATGTTGATTTTGTGGCCAATTAACCATTTTTTGTGGATTTTGATGTGTGCTTGGGGTTATTGTCTTACTGGAAGATCCACTTGCGGCCAAGTGTCAGCCTCCTGGCAGAGGCAACCAGGTTTTTGGCTAAAAAGTAAAGTTCATGATGCCGTTGACCTTAACCCAGGCCCCAGGACCAGGGGAAGCAAAATAGCCCCATAACATCAAGGTCCACCACCATATTTTACAGTAGGAATGTTTTTTTTCTTCTGCTTCTGCATTATCATTTCGACGCCAAACCCACCACTGGTGTGCGTGGCCAAATAGCACTATTTTCATGTCATCTGACCAAAGCACAGGTTCCAATCCAAGTGTCAATGCTGTTTAGCAAACTCCAGGCGTTAACATTTGTTGGATGACATGAAAATAGAGCTCTTCTTGGCGTTGAAATGAGAATGCATTTTACTTTCTATGACTGTGACAAGTGGTTGTCGTACCTCAATGCACAAACACTCAGTCTGCTAAATGACTAAAATGTCAAATATACAAATGTACATATTTTTTCATTTTGACTGGTCAGCTCCTGCAAGGGGAATCAAGCTATTCTATTTTTACAGACTAAAATGATGTATACTATGATGCTTATCTAAGATCAGTTTTTTCCCTTTAGATCATGATGAATAAGAGTATATGGACAGATCCTAGATCAGCACTTCTACTCTGAGATGATTTGTGGATACAGGCCCAGGTCAAGATGGCAGTGTTCAGTCTTCCTTTTATTTTTGCTGACCATTCACTTTGATCTCCATCATCTGCTCATTTGATCATAATTTTTTATTCATTTGGTAGGACAGTACTATTGGGTTGGTTTAAACCTAGTCCTGGACTCGAGCATTCGAAATGGATAATCTTCATTGGAAGCGCTCTTAAATCCAGGACTAGGCTTGATCTGTGTCTGGGAACCTGGTCCGCTGGATTGAATTAAGCCCTTATCATGTTGATGGTTTCTCTAGCAATGCAACAGGCTTCCATGAACCTGACAGAGTCCCTACATGAAGTCTACGAGCCGGACTGGCATGGGAAGGATGATGTCTTGAGCATCGGGAAGGTGAGCACCACATGCCTACATTTCTTCTTCTTTCATTCTCATGTCCCTCTGTTCTTTCAGTCTTTTGTTCATTGTAGGCACACTTGATTGATTGAGTTTCTGGTCTGGTTCACTCAGAAGTCATGGTTCTCTCTGGGTTTTCATACCTGTATGTCAGTCATCTATAGTGTGGGAGGCATGATCACTTATCAGTATTTATGATTTTGCTTTAGTCTGAAATAAATCATCTTAGCCTAAATTCTTTCTTAATTTTTTTTATCTCCATTAGCTGAAGCCATAGCAATCGCTATAGTCTTGTGGTCCATAATTATATATATACAGTCACTCTCCTTTCATATATTTTTATGCTTTATTGACAAAAATATTAGAAACAGTGGGAGATGGAGATGCAGTGAGAAGTGAGTACAAAGGGATTGAACCCCAGTCTCAAGCAGAAAGTTGCATATGTGCATGGAACCAGGAGTGTTACCACTGGACCACGGCTCCACACACTGTGGTCCATAATTATCTAAAATGGCAGAGAATACATACTGTATGTGAGCATGTTTCTATCTCGGCCAAGCATACATAGGCAGCATACATAGTGAATACATAGACAGCATACACAGAGAATACATAGACAGCATACACAGAGCATACATATACAGCATACATAGAGCATACTAGACACTGACCCATTTCCTAAACTGAGTCAAGTCAAGAGCACTGTGACAGTATCCATCAATATTGATCATGGTAGGAATAAATTATAGTTTTGGAATCAAATAAAACCAGCAGTTTTAAAGATCTTTGGCTTTATTGAAAGTAGTAAAGAGATATGATACCAACTGAATGAATTTCTGCAATATTTAAAGTGGAACTGACAGTGTTTTAGCAACATGAAATCATATTAAAATCTGGAAGAATATGACATCTTTTTATTTTTTTACATTTTCTGACAAGCGAGCACTTACAGTCATTTTCACGTTTCCATAAATTCATAGAATGTTTAGGAATGTGAACATTCTATAGCAATATACAGTGGGAAAGCGGCCATGCCTTTGGATAATTAATAGACACTGCAGTAAATAAAACCTAATAAAAACATCTGTCTTGTCCAGGACCGGAGTCTACGCAGACCGGTGCACCATAGCCAATTAGAGCTACAGTAGGCCTATATGCAAATAAGCCATTTGCCACACGGGGCTGCCATCATTCACTTTGAACTGGACTCAGTTTTTACAGGCAATAGCAACAGCGCGACTTTAGATCATTAGAACGCATTCGCCAAAAGCCACAAAATACACATGAATGGATTTCTGCTAAAATGTAAATACCACGGGAGTCCTCTTACATTTGGGAACTTCACAGTCCTATTGATCAAACAACCATGAAAAGGTAGGCTATCTCTCCCTCATTTGCCTATGCAAATCAACAACAACAAGATCAACAACTAAAGCTAGCCAGAGCGAGATAAGCTAAACTCTAACGAGGGAACATTAGATAAACCCTCTCAAACTTTTTAAGCTTGTTGGCCATCAAAATTGCTAGCTAGCAAAGTAATTCACATTTCTTGCTAGCTAACCAAATGACACCTGCATCTTTAACTGTAGCCACCGAAAAACGATATGAGGGGAAAAGGTCGGTCACTCACCCACTCCTCCAATGGCATGACATCCTCGCAGCAGCTAGCTAGCTAGCTAACGACCCAAACTGGTAATTGTTTTATTAGAAGAAATATGGCCCTTTATAATGTCCACTTATGTACATAGGAAGCTGTATATAGCGTTTTAACATATTAAAACAAAAGAATAGATAAATAATATTTGTCCAGCCTTTCCTGCTATGCTTGCAGATGTGCATAATACACTACACAGTATATACAAAAGTATGTGGATACCCCTTCAAATTAGTGGATTCGGCTATTTCAGCCACACCCATTGCTGACAGGTGTATAAAATCGAGTACACAGCCATGCAATCTCCATAGCGAAACATTGGCAGTAAAATGGCCTTACTGAAGGGCTCAGTGACCTTTCCAACAAGTCAGTTCGTCAAATTTCTGCCCTTCTAGAGCTGCCCCAGTCTACTGTAAGTGCTGTTATTGTGAAGTGGAAACATCTAGAAGCAACAACGGCTCAGCCGCGAAGTGGTAGGCCACACAAGCTCGCAGAACGGGACCGCCGAGAGTTGAAGCTCGTAGCTTGTAAAAATTGTCTGTCCTCGGTTGCAACCCTCACTACCGAGTTCCAAACTGCCTCTGGAAGCAACGTTAGCACAATAACTGTTCGTCGGGAGCCTCATGAAATGGGTTTCCATGGCCGAGCAGCCACACACAAGCCTAAGATCAGCATGTGCAATGCCAAGTGTCGGCTGGTGTGGTGTAAAGCTCACCGCCACTCTGTAGCAGTGGAAACATGTTGTCTGAAGTGATTAATCACGCTTCACCATCTGGCAGTCCGACGGACGAATCCGGGTTTGGCGGATGCCAGGAGAACACCATCTGCCCGAAAGCATAGTGCCAACTGTAAAGTTTGGTGGAGGAAGAATAATGGTCTGGGGCTGTTTTCATGGTGAAGGGAAATCTTACAGCATACAATGACATTCTAGACGATTCTGTGCTTCCAACTTTGTGGCAACAGTTTGGGGAAGGCCCTTTCCTGTTTCAGCATGACAATGCCCTCCTTGTACAAAGCGAGCTCCATACAGAAAAGGTTTGTCGATCGGTGTGGAAGAACTTCACTGGCCTGCACAAAGCCCTGACCTCAACCCTATCAAACTTTGGGATGAATTGGAACGCCGTCTGCGAGCCAGGCCTAATCGCCCAACATCCGTGCCCGACCTCACTAGTGCTCTTGTGGCTGAAGGGAAGCAAGTTCCCACAGCAATGTTCCAACATCTAGTGGAAAGCCTTCCCAGAAGAGTGGAGGCTGTTATAGCAGCAAAGGAGGGACCAACTCCATATTAATGCCCATGATTTAGGAATGAGATGTTCGACGAGCAGGTGTCCACATACTTTTGGTCATGTATTGTATGCTGCGACCCTAATCAAAAAGTATTTAATAACTCCAAATCACAAAAACGTAGCTATAGGTTTGTTGTAACATTTAAACTTAAAACATGTTTTTCTTTTTTTTGCACTGCACCAGTGCGGTTGAATGCAGCATTGCTGTATGGTGAATTCAAAATGTATTGTAGTTGAGTAGCCAGCCTAGGCTACTGTTCAAATGTTGCTGCAATATGCCTACATGTTTCTCCTTTGCATGGTGTTTTGTTTCAGGTTTAGCTAGCCTATTAGCCACGTTATGACTGACTTGTGGTCATTGCCCTTGCTAGTTTGATTGTATTGACATTCCCAGCCTTAGTTACAGTCGTCCATAAAAAAAAAAAAATTGAGTCATTGAAACTGAAACAGTGCATCCTGAATGGGTGGAGGCAGCAAACAATGTACCTGGAGTGTAAACTGTCATGGACAAAACATGTTGACGCAACAGTAGCTAAGATGGGGAGAAGTCTGTCCGTAATAAAGCACTGCTCTGCCTTCTTAACAACACTATCAAATAGGCAGGTCCTACAGCCCTAGTTTTGTCGCACCTGGACTACTGTCGAGTCGTGTGGTCAGGTACCACAAAGAGAGAACAGGGCAGCACGGCTGGCCCTTAAATGTACACGGAGAGCTAAAATTAATAATATGCATGTCAATCTCTCATGGCTCAAAGTAGAGAGATTGATTTCATCACTACTAGTTTTTGTAAGAAGTATTGACATGCGGACACCCATGCATACCCCACTAGAAATGCCACCAGAGATCTCTTCACAATCCCAATGTCCAGAACAGAATATGGGAGGCGCACAGTACTACATAGAGCCATGGCTACATGGAACTCTATTCCAAATCAGGTAACTGATGCAAGTAGTATAATTATATATATTTTTTAAACAGATACAAATACAGTGGGGAAAAAAAGTATTTAGTCAGCCACCAATTGTGCAAGTTCTCCCACTTAAAAAGATGAGAGAGGCCTGTAATTTTCCTCATAGGTACACGTCAACTATGACAGACAAAATGAGGAAATAAAATCCAGAAAATCACATTGTAGGATTTCTTATGTATTTATTTGCAAATTATGGTGGAAAATAAGTATTTGGTCAATAACAAAAGTTTCTAAATACTTTGTTATATACCCTTTGTTGGCAATGACACAGGTCAAACGTTTTCTGTAAGTCTTCACAAGGTTTTCACACACTGTTGCTGGTATTTTGGCCCATTCCTCCATGCAGATCTCCTCTAGAGCAGTGATATTTTGGGGCTGTCGCTGGGCAACACAGACTTTCAACTCCCTCCAAAGATTTTCTATGGGGTTGAGATCTGGAGACTGGCTAGGCCACTCCAGGACCTTGAAATGCTTCTTACGAAGCCACTCATTCTTTGCCCGGGCGGTGTGTTTGGGATCATTGTCATGCTGAAAGACCCAGCCACGTTTCATCTTCAATGCCCTTGCTGATGGAAGGAGGTTTTCACTCAAAATCTCACGATACATGGCCCCATTCATTCTTTCATTTACACGGATCAGTCGTCCTGGTCCCTTTGCAGAAAAACAGCCCCAAAGCATGATGTTTCCACCCCCATGCATCACAGTAGGTATGGATGCAACTCAGCATTCTTTATCCTCCAAACACGACAAGTTGAGTTTTTACCAAAAAGTTATATTTTGGTTTCATCTGACCATATGACATTCTCCCAATCCTCTTCTGGATCATCCAAATGCACTCTAGCAAACTTCAGATGGGCCTGGACATGTACTGGCTTAAGCAGGGGGACACGTCTGCACTGCAGGATTTGAGTCCCTGGCGGCGTAGTGTGTTACTGATGGTAGGCTTTGTTACTTTGGTCCCAGCTCTCTGCAGGTCATTCACTAGGTCCCCCCGTGTGGTTCTGGGATTTTTGCTCACCGTTCTTGTGATCATTTTGACCCCACGGGGTGAGATCTTGCGTGGCGCCCCAGATCGAGGGAGATTATCAGTGGTCTTGTATGTCTTCCATTTCCTAATAATTGCTCCCACAGTTGATTTATTCAAACCAAGCTGCTTACCTATTGCAGATTCAGTCTTCCCAGCCTGGTGCAGGTCTACAATTTTGTTTCTGGTGTCCTTTGACAGCTCTTTGGTCTTGGCCATAGTGGAGTTTGTAGTGTGACTGTTTGAGGTTGTGGACAGGTGACTTTTATACTGATAACAAGTTCAAACAGGTGCCATTAATACAGGTAACGAGTGGAGGACAGAGGAGCCTCTTAAAGAAGAAGTTACAGGTCTGTGAGAGCCAGAAATCTTGCTTGTTTGTAGGTGACCAAATACTTATTTTCCACCATCATTTGCAATTAAATTCATAAAAAATCCTACAATGTGATTTTCTGGATTTTTTTTCCTCAATTTGTCTGTCATAGTTGACGTGTACCTATGATGAAAATTACAGGCCTCTCTCATATTTTTAAGTGGGAGAACTTGCACAATTGGTGGCTGACTAAATACTTTTTTTCCCCACTGTAGGCCTATGGGCTAGGCTACATGAGGCGTGCGACTATGATTAGAAAAAGACGAGGGGGAAAAAAGCATTGTTTCTTATGCTGGGCATCATTCACAAGTGATAATATATCATTCACAAGTGATAGGCTAATATTGTCACCCATCAGACTTTTCTTGATTTAATCTTGTCTTTACATATACTAAATAACAGATGTGAAAATTGTTTTGATTTAGAATGATCCATTATCATGCACCTGAAATAGCGAATGGAGGATGCTTTTCCGTGGTTAATTTTCATGTCAGCCAGGTAGGATATAGTCCTGTTGTAAAGATAATGTGATGGATCAGCTTGTCCAAAATACCCTAACACAGGCGGGAGGCATGAAATGAACAGACCGGAGGCAGTGGTTGTGGTTCCTTTGCTTTTGTAATGTCAATAAACAAGTTTTCTTTCACCCGACACAACAGTGAGGGGGGGGAAATGAAGAAAAAATAAACAAAGCAGTTGACCTAAAGGCCGTGGCCAACAGGGAAAACCTAACAACAAAAGGCTTCACCTGTCTTTAGACTATCGTCTGCACATAACATTTACAGGGGGAACGCTTCTCTCTACCTATAGCCTGACTTGCTTAACCGAGAGCCAAGGTTCATCAGAAGAAGTGTTCTCTGAGATAGGAGAGTACGATGTCCTCACAGGTCCCTGTATATGCTCCCAGCCCCGAGCTCATCTCCTGGAACACCTTTATAGAGGGAGACACAAAGCAATTAGTGGACCCAGCCGTTTACTAATTGGCTTTACACTGAGTACCTATCCCCTGAGGAGGGTGCTGTCGTGTCGTCTTCGGCCGGCCGGTCACTGAACTCTCGCAATGTGCTTAATATTAGGAAAGTTGAGAAATAAATATAGTAGGCCTAGCCTATAGAAAGCTGATGGGATCCTCCTCTTTTTAATGGAGGCCATCACTCTGTTTTCTCACGCAATTGCATAGCCTATAGAAATGTTGCGCAACATGAGCTCATGGGCTCTCATGAAGTGTTTGTTTAGATTTTCGTTTACATTTGCATTGATGTCAGAGTGATTAGAGGGACAATAGAGTGCTGAGTACCAGGCAGTTAGCAAGTTTGGTAGGCTACTAATGACCATCCGTAGCATCAGAGCTTGGAGAAGCCTAATTACCGTGACTAAACGGTCACGTGGAATTTGACTGCCTTCATGACTCGTGACCGCCGGTGTGGCGGTAATATGGTCACCGCAACAGCCCTAGGTGTGAATACTTTCTGAAGGCACTGTATGTTAATTAATCTCACTCACATCTGTTGCAGGAAGAACATCATGTAGGTAGCATCCACCTTTTCATTTACCCCCTTCATCACTGTGTAAACAAAAACCTAATTAAAATGTAATTCTCTCCTGAGTCCTCTGTGCCAAAGGTTTTCTCTATCACATGGATACAATCACTGCAGCAGAGGTAACTCTGGGTCTTCCATTCCTGTGGCGGTCCTCATGAGAGGCAGTTTCATCATAGCGCTTGATGGTTTTTGCAACTGCACTTGAAGAAACTTACAAAGTTCTTGAAATTTTCCGTGTTGACTGACCTTCATGTCTTAAAGTAATGATGGACTGTCGTTTCTCTTTGCTTATTTGAGCTGTTCTTCCCATAATATGGACTTGGTCTTTTAATAATAATATGCCATTTAGCAGACGCTTTTATCCAAAGCGACTTACAGTCATGTGTGCATACATGTTTACGTATGGCTGGTCCCGGGGATCGAACCCACTACCCTGGCGTTACAAGCGCCATGCTCTACCAATTGAGCTACAAAGGACCACAACATAAGACAGATCAGACAAAATATGACATAGGGTACACAACAGGGCACTGCGATCGCTATGGATGAGATCAGCGTTGCATTATTAGTCATCACAGACATCAGTAGTTCACATAAATCATCATCATTTCTTAACCACAACACTTTAATACTACCACTTGAGAGAGCCATACTAATTAAGGGAGGAGATGCAGTTGATGTCTAAATAATGGTGAGGGGAGTAGCTTCCTTACTTTTACCAAATAGGGCTGTCTTCTGTATACCTTGTCAAAACACAACTGATTGGCTCAAACGCATTAAGAAGGAAAGAAATTGTGTGCAAAGGGTGGCTATTTGAAGAATCTCAAATATAAAATATATTTTGATTTGTTTAACACTTTTTTGATTACTACATGCTTCCATATATGTTATTTCATTGTTTTGATGTCTTCACTATTATTATACAATGTAGAAAATAGTAAAAATAAAGAAAAACCCTGGAATGAGTAGGTGTTCTAAAGCTTTTGACTGGTAGTGTAGGTAGACATAGGTACTGTATATTACACCATATGACTCTGATTTTAACCACCTGTTCTCCTCTTGTTCAGCATCTGGCTAACTGAAATGTTTCTCTGTGTTTCTCCTTTAGAACTGTGATGTCTTATGGGAGGACTTCCATCAGAAGCTGGTTGATTCATCACTTATCACACTGGACACGTACCTGCAACAGTTCCCCGACCTCAAGGTACAGTATACTGCATGAACAACAGTTTAGCCTTGGCTCTGTCGCCACAGAAACTAATAGCAGTCCTTGTGTCAAAATTTGAGTTGACGCTTGCCTTTAACCAACTCAATAATATTGTTTTTTTTCACTTATGTATCCAAATAGTTTATAGTACAGCACTATTTGTAATAAATTAGCTATTTGGTGAGAAGTTTGACTAGGAAAGTGCCCTTGTAAAATAATTGGTTCATCTCTTCCGGCATATTCTTAATATGCTCACGGTCTCAAAGACTTGAAGAGATTTCAGGCTTTTGTCCCTGTGGCTCAGAGTGCGTCCCAAATGGCACCCTATTCCCTATATTGCGCACTACTTTTGACCAGGGCCCAATGGGCCGTGGTCAGAAGTAATGCACTATAAAGGGAATAGGGTGCCATTTGGGACGCAGCCTCAGAAAGGTTGACACCTTTATGCTTGGAACTTTTGCTCAGGGGAAGGACTTTGTATACTATTGTATTGTATTAAAGGCCGGTCTGTGTGGTACTTTGCTAACTCCATGTACTCTATTCACCATCAGATCCGTGTGGCGAAAAGAAGCAGAAAGCTAATTGACTACGACAGTGCACGGCACCATCTCGAGACCATTCAGGCAGTGGTCAATAGAAGTGATCGGAAGGTCTCCAAGGTAAGACCTATGCAGTAATACAACAATGTGCTATTCTGTCCGCCTTTACCATTGTAGTGAAGAATGATAGAGAAACACAACCCTTTTACTAAAACGTAAATACCTCATATGCTATAATAGTTCACCTTTCCAATAGTTTTGTGATGTAAACCCAACAAACAGACTAGAGCCGTTTAACAACAACCTAGTCTCCAACCATAATTGAAAAGTGGGTGGTCATTAACATACTGTACGTTATGTCATTCTTATGGCAGTCTTATAAGAGCATCATGACAGTACACTACAAGTAAAGTACTGTGTATCAAGTGTAAAAGAGAATCCTTGTGCAAAGCAGTTCATCTTCAAGGTGCTGGTTTTGGCAGGAAAGAGATATGTTAATATTTCCCCCCTCGTTATGTATTTCTCTCTTCAGGCAGAGGATGAGTTGAAAAAAGCCCAGAAGGTGTTTGATGAGCTCAATGTTGATCTACAGGACGAGCTACCAACTCTCTGGGACAGGTAAACTAATATCAACACCTGAGTCACATTCACTAGGCACCAAACGGAAAAAAATGGGCCGACCATGGAGAGGGGCTACCTGATTTGTCCAATAAGAAACGCTTGTTTTTGTTTTCCGTTGCAAAACGATTTGGTACGGTGTGCGCTAATTAATATGACCCTAATTAAAACTGTCATAGATAAACCAATGTTGTGGTATTTACGCTGTAGCGCCTCTTCCCATGGTCAATTACAAATCAAAATGAATGGTTTCGGGTACTGTAAATTTTTTAAAAAAAAGATATAATACAGTACTATTATGAGGTCAATCAATCAAATGTATTTATTTTACATTTTAGTCATTTAGCAGACGCTCTTATCCAGAGCGACTTACAGTTAGTGAGTGCATACATTATTTTTGTATTTTATTTAATTTTTTCAAACCCACAACCCTGGCGTTGCAAACACCATGCTCTACCAACTGAGCTACATCCCTGCCGGCCATTCCCTCCCCTACCCTGGATGACGCTAGGCCAATTGTGCGCCGCCCCATGGGTCTCCCGGTCGCGGCCGGCTACGACAGAGCCTGGATTCGAACCAGGATCTCTAGTGGCACAGCTAGCACTGCGATGCAGTGCCTTAGACCACTGCGCCACCTTTTTGCATCAGCAGATGTCACAAAGTGCTTATACAGAAACCCAGCCTCAAACCCCAAAGAGCAAGCAATTTAGATGTAGAAGCACGGGTATAGGTATACTCCTGTTACAGTTAGCTGCTTCCTGTTTTCAATTATGAGAAGTGTGTGCGTGATGCAGTAGTTTTTTTTCTAGGGGTTAGATCAGCTTTAATATTGCAGATAGATTGTGGGTTCTATCAATGTAGTTATTTGCATAATTTCCAACCGCCATTTTTCTTTCTTATTTTGTAATATATTTTCCTTTCTTATTTTCCGCTAACCCTACATCCCCTCCCCTAATTGGAGTAAACTATGCAGTAGTTTGTAAAACAAAGAATGGGCGTAGACTTCACTACAATGGGTTCTGCTTGAATTTCGTCTTTTCAGCATTATCATTGACTTTACTACATGTTAATTCCTTCTTAATTGCAAGTTACTAACTGATTAATTATATTGATGTTCCAATTACTGCATTCATATAATAATATATGCCATATTGATTTTATGCAAGATGCATGCATGCATACAGTGCCTTGCAAAAGTATTCATCCCCCTTGGCGTTTTTCCTATTTTGTTGCATTACAACCTGTAATTTAAATGGATTTTTATTTGGATTTCATGTAATGGACATACATAAAATACTCCAAATTGGTGAAGTGAAATGAAAATAATAACTTGTTTCAAAAAATTCGAAAAAATTAATAACGGAAAAGTGGTGGTGCAACCAATTACCTTCAGTTACATAATTAGTTAAATAAATAAAGTCCACCTGTGTGCAATCTAAGTGTCACATGATCTGTCACATGATCTCAGTGTATATATACACCTGTTCTGAAAGTCCCCAGAGTCTGCAACACCACTAAGCAAGGGGCACCACCAAGCAAGCGGCACCATGAAAACCAAGGAGATCTCCAAACAGGTCAGGGACAAAGTTGTGGAGAAATACAGGTCAGGGTTGGGTTATAAAAAAAATATCTGAAACTTTGAACATCCCATGGAGCATCATTAAATCCATTATTAAAAACTGGAAAGAATATGGCACCACAACAAACCTGCCAAGAGAGGGTCGCCCACCAAAACTCATGAACCAGGCAAGGAGGGCATTAATCAGAGGCAACAAAGAGACCAAAGATAACCCTGAAGGAGCTGCAAAGCTCCACAGCGGAGATTGGAGTATCTGTCTATAGGACCACTTTAAGCCGTACACTCCACAGAGCTGGGCTTTACGGAAGAGTGGCCAGAAAAAAGCCATTGCTTAATGAAAAAAATAAGCAAACACGTTTGGTGTTCGCCAAAAGCCATGTGGGAGACTCCCCAAACATATGGAACAAGGTACTCTGGTCAGATGAGACTAAAATTGAGCTTTTTGGCCATCAAGGAAAATGCCTGGCGCAAACCCAACACCTCTCATCACCCAGAGAACACCATTCCCACAGTGAAGCATGGTGGTGGCAGCATCATGCAGTGGGGATGTTTTTCATCGGCAGGGACTGGGAAACTGGTCAGAATTGAAGGAATGATGGATGCCGTTAAATACAGGGAAATTATTGAGGGAAACCTGTTTCAGTCTTCCAGAGATCTGAGACTGGGACGGAGGTTCACCTTCCAGCAGGACAATGACCCTAAGCATACTGCTAAAGCAACACTCGTGTGGTTTAAGGGGAAACATTTACATGTCTTGGAATGGCCTAGTCTAAGCCCAGACCTCAATCCAATTGAGAATCTGTGGTATGACTTAAAGATTGCTCTACACCAGCGGAACCCATCCAACTTGAAGGAGTTGGAGCAGTTTTGCCTTGAAGAATGGGCAAAAATCCCATTGGCTAGATGTGCCAAGCTTATAGAGACATACCCCAAGAGACTTGCAGCAGTAATTGTGGCTCTACGAAGTATTGACTTTGGGGGGGGGGGGGGGGGGGGTGAATAGTTATGCACGCTCAAGTTTTCTGTTTTTTTGTCTTATTGTGAAACAAACAAGAAAAAAATATTTTGCATCTTCAAAGTGAAAATATCAGATATAGTTATTGGCACAGACTTTCCACATCAGTGCATCCCTATCTAAGTAAAACCAGATAGAAAGTATGTAGAAATGACAATGGACCTATAATATTTTAAAATAACTGCCTTTCTTCTGGCCCACAAATTGCTTTCAACAACAAAAGAAAATGGTTTGTCCCTCCGTTTAAATTATTTCCCACCCCTGTTCTAAGTGGTGATGTAAAGACCTTTACTAGTGAAGGGCATTTTAATTATTTTCAGTAAGCCTTTTCATTCTGCTTCGTTCACCTAAAAGAGCCGGTAGCCATGATGTTGTTAAATAGACATGGGGGGGGGGGGGGGCCTCAGACTGGCCTCTGCCTGGGGCCTATAAATCACAAAGTCCGCCCCTGTGTGTGTGTTTGTGTGTGTGTGTGTGTGTGTGTGTGTGTGCCATCTTGAGCACTGGCTGCTCACTGGAGAGGAATGCTTGCAGCCGTGGTTACGTAATCTGTCCAATCAGAGGCATCCTCTCTCTGCAATGCCCTCTAGCACCGCTCTACTCGTGGATAGGAATTGCGGTACTTTTTATTTTTAGCCCTATCATAGTTATAATGACAGTCATCCTTTTGTGAAAAAATCTGCATTAACAGCTGAGCTACAGTATATGTGTTCAGGATATGTGTCAGAATCAATTCAACCCCTGTGTGTGTGTGTGTGTGTGTGTGTGTGTGTGTGTGTGTGTGTGTGTGTGTGTGTGTGTGTGTGTGTGTGTGTGTGTGTGTGTGTGTGTGTGTGTGTGTGTGTGTGTGTGTGTGTGTGTGTGTGTGAATGAATGACCACATGTCTCCTACATGCATCATTGCAAAATGACAAGAGTATAGAGCAGTGCTAGAGGGCATTGCAGAGAGAGGATCCTCACAAGGGCAACACAATGTTTGCTGTACACTTTGGTTTAGCAGTTTCTGAAATTCGCACTTATTGCTTATATGTTCAGAAGAAAGATGTGCTATGAGTTCACCTGAATAGCAGCAATAGATCACAATTTACAATACGTATCTAACATTTTGCAAACTGGTTGGTAAACAATGTATCAATCAATACAATTTATTTTATAAAGCCCTTTTTACATCAGCAGTTGTCACAAAGTGCTTTACAGATACCCAGCCTCAAATCCCAAAGAGCTAGCAATGTAGAGGTAGAAGCACAGTGGCCAGGAAACTCCCTAGAAGGCAATAACCATGTATAGGGACTATAGTTAAACAGCGTTTTGTATCTCTGACCACCAGTTTGATATGGTTTTAATTTTTTTGAAAAGTGGTATGAAAAGTATATTGTTATGGTAAACTGTTCATTCCAATGTACGGAATTCATAAGTCTAACAGCATTAGCCTTATAGCTAAGGCTGTCAATTCATAAATTACTTCCATAATTTTAGGGCTTTAAAGAAGATGTTTGTTGGTGAAAAGACAGCACAATGGTAACTGATGTGTTTTCCCCCTTCAAGCCGAGTCGGATTCTACGTGAACACATTCAAGAACGTGACGAACCTGGAGGCCAAATTCCATCGGGAAATCTCTGTGGTAAGTTAAAAAATAGAAATACTCAAGGCTATTTGCTTTATGCGCTGGGTGGTGTTTTTGAAGGTTGAGTCTCTTTCTTCTGACATTGCATTAACACAAGGGATAAAGTACAGTTCAGTATGATGATGTACCATGTACCATCTATGCCTAGTGTATCCAAACACATATATCTTTTTTTAAAGTTCATTTTAGACAGAAGAGAGCTGGGAGACAGATAGAGGGAACGTAGTGTGAAGACCGGTGGAGCCGGGATTCCATCCCACGCAGGCAGGAGATTGCATACATGCTCAGTTAGGCAGCCTTAACCGCTTGACCAACCTCAAGCACCAGATGGTGAAGATGAGCGAGTATCTGAAATTCTTGTTATCCAAAAACATCCTCAGCGCTCTTTACTTCTATAGCCTAATTGTGGACTTACATCATATCACATTAGCCTTGATCATATAGCCAATTTTTTTCACTAAGACATACACTAAGTTACTAATTCAACAATTTATTAAAATGTAAATGGACAAATAGTCAACTGATGGCTGATTCAAGGAGCATGAAAATTACAGCTCACGATGATAATGTGGAATTGAAAATGTCAATACACAAGACGTTTAGATGTCTACTTGAGCAGCATATATTTTTTGTAAAATGTAGAAATATTTACCTAGAAATAAAGGGTTTATAGTAAGGTTTTGCTGCACATAACACTTTTGTAGTGGAAAATCCTTTCATATCAAATATGGGCTGAAAACCTAGCATTATAGCTTCAAATTTGCTCCTCCAGTTTCGGTAATAACACCTCTCTATTTCACCTCTCTTCCTGTCGGTGATCGAGTGAAACATTATAATGTAGGCCTTCCTCTTTCCTTCAGAAATGCTAGTCAATCATAATTTGGAGAGATGTTTGTTTGTGTGTGGGAAATATCAGCGGTGAGGCAAGTCTGTGAACCAGAACTTCTCAGCTCTCAATTTCTCTGGTTTGCCATTGAAGGTTGAATTCTGAACATAGTCATAGACCTTCAGAATACCAACGTGAACATGTTACTAAGGCAAGTCAGGAGAATGCTGGGAGAGTGAGTGACAGAAACTGCCAGCGCCATTATCCTTAACCTTTGATAAATCACCTGAAATATACATGCCAGTACTGTGTTGGACTGAATATACAACTCTGGCAGCCTGTGTCTTCTGATGAATACTGGTTCAGGGGTCCACAGCCATCTGTGTTTGGCTCAATGCCATTTCAACTCCGTTAAGGAAGTGCACTGAAATTGAATTTATAAACGAGGAAAATACCCATCAAATTATGATGTTTTCAATTAATGAATTCCATTTTTATTTCACTTCCTGAAATAACTTTAGGCCAGCACATGATTCGCTCACACTTACCCACTTAAACCTTATTATCCTGTCTTCAAAGGTACTGCATTTCCAACTAGCAGGGACAGCACTGTTATGTGACATTGTAATTGTCTTACTGAGGTCTAGGGAAATGACTACAGTAACTACCATATATTAGGCCTATTGTATTGTATTGGCTGTCAGCAGTATTACTGGTGAATATCAAGGTAATCCCTAAACTATAGCCTCTCGCGATTCCTAGCCTGGCTACTACTCCCCATCGCTCCAGGCCAAACATGAGGGCCTATATAGTGCACTACGTTTGACCAGAGCCCTATGGTGCACTTTATAGGAATAGGGAGCCATTTAGGACACTGCCATGGTGTCACGATATGATTGGTTTAGGGACACCAGTGATTTGAGTCTTGTAAGTATTCTGAACATCTGTTCTGAAATTGAGCCTAAATGGTCAGGTAGGAAAGGGATTGTTTTTGGCCGTTGATGAAGAGAAGGCTGTTTGACTTGTTTTAGGCTTGTTCTCATTCAGATCACACCATCTGCGTCGTTTATGGACAGAAACGGAGTGGCCATAGGGCAGTTCTGGCAAATGCCAGATTAGCTGGTCCATCTTTAGCCCAGTGGGCCTGTCTAAAGTGGAGTTGCTGTGCAGAATAATAATAATTTGTCTAATAATCGGGGCCTCAAAGGACAAAATGGACCGATGTGTTAGAAATGCCCGGGCAGATTTCTGGTCCTTGCCCGACCCAGAGAGAAAGCTTTATGTTCAGACTTGTTTTAGGCATGTTCTCCTTCAGATCACACCATCTACATCCTTCATGGATGCCTGGCTGGAAGGTGTGTTGGTACAAAGAATGCCCCCTCAGACAGCAGGGTCTCAATAAAGAACAGAGGACAGATGTGAAAGCAGCAGTCAGTAGACCGAGGGCACAACTCATTTAAACCTGTGGTGCGGTTTTTATGCAGAACCCTATTAATGTTTTTTCCTGGGGTCAATTGTTTTGTATCGTGTGTGTGTGTCCTGACATCTTTATCCGTCCAAGTTCAACATTTGGTTCTAGACTGCCCTCTGCAGGGAAAAGTATAAATTGTGCCTCATTTATTCATTTTTCATTTATTTCAGGGTTTAGGTCAATTTAACCTAACATACCAGACGTACAAAAAGAAACGCTTGAGATGGCGTTTCTTTCTTTCTAATCCTTTTGCACCGTTCAACCAATCCAGTAAATGTGGAGAAGGAGTTAAGATGGAGTGTCGCCTTGTTAACATGCAAAAGCGGATGTCGCGTCACAGGCTCTCTTTCCATTTACGCTGAAGACTGGATGCATTTGGTTGTTTCCGACCCGCTGAGGTTGGGGTCAATTCAATTGAAAGGCAGTCAATTCAGGAAGAAAATGTTTATTACAATTGAATAATTTTTTTTTATATACAGTATATAATTTTAAATAAACTGAAAAGTAGAAGCTATTTATTTCTAAAGTTTTTCCATTTCTGAATTGTACATTCAAATCACTTCCTGAATTGACTACCTTCAATTGGAATTGACCCCAACCCTGATATATTTTTATTTATTTAATTGATCATTTATTTTAAAGTACTCTCGGACACCCAGCGAGCACCTGCGAAATCGTGATTTGTCCAAATGATCAGTGAATAAAAATCAGCGTACTGGAACAAAGTTCCTCTTTAGTCGTGGCATCTGTCTGTCGACAGATGCTACTGCAAATTATGTTAGGCCTATGATTGAGAATGGCGCCGGAGGGGATGGCTGCCGTTTTACGGACTCCTAACCAATTGTGCTATTTTGTGTGTTTCTTGGCGTTGTTTGTAACTTATTTTGTACATAATATTTCTGCCACTGTCTCTAATGACCGATAACAGCTTCTGGATATCAGAACAGCGATAACTCACCTCAAACTGGACAAATCGTTTTTCTTTAACAAGTCGGACGTGAAGGATTTACTGCTGCTCCCGGACCAGGCCCAAATCCCCGTCATTCACATGAAGAGGAGACGCCGATACAGGGGATGCAGATCTGACTGCCTTGTGAGAATTCGGCGGAAAGTGGGTAACCCGCCTCTACCCTCCGTCCTATTGGCCAACGTGCAATCATTGGAGAATAAACTGGATGAGGTCCATTCGAGATTATCCTACCAACGGGACATTAAAAACTGTAATTTCTTATGTTTCACTGAGTCGTGGCTGAACGACGACATGTATAATACAGTTGGCTGGGTTTTTCATGCATTGGAAAGACAGAACAGCTACCTTCTCAGTTCTACCCTAAGAGAAGGGGTGGTGGTTTGTGTCTATTTGTCAATAACAGCTGGTGCGTGAAATCTAATATTAAAGAAGTCTTGAGGTTTTGCTCGCCTGAGGTAGAGTACCTCACATGATAAACTGTAGACCACACTATCTGTCTATTTACTCCCACAAAGCGATGCTGGCACTAAGACCGCACTCAACGAGCTGTATAAGGCCATAAGGAAACAAGAAAATGCTCATCCAGAGGCTGTGCTCCTAGTGGCCAGGGACTTTAATGCAGGAAAACTTAAATCTGTTTTACCTCATTTCTACCAGCATGTCACGTGCAACCAGAGGGAAAAAAACTCTAGACCACCTTTACTCCACACACAGAGACGAGTACATACCGCCCCAACATAATTCTATCCTGATTCCTGCTTAAAATAAAAAAACTAAAGCAGGAAGTACCAGCGACTCGCTCAAAACGGAAGTGGTCAGATGACGCCGATGCTAAGCTACAGGACTGTTTTGATAGCACAGTATGGAATATGTTCTGGGATTCATCCGATGGCATTGAGGAGTATACCACATCCGTCACTGATTTCATCAATAAGTGCATCGATGACGTCGTCCCCACAGTGACCGTACGTACATACAACAACCAGAAGCAATGGATTACAGGAAACAGCCGCACTGAGCTAAAGGGTAGAGCTGCCGTTTTCAAGGAGCGGGACACTAACCCAGATGCTTATAAGAAATCCTGCTATGCCCTCCGATGAACCATCAAACAGGCAAAGCGTCAATACAGGACTAAGATTGAAACCTACTACACCGGCTCTGACGCTCGTCGGATGTGGCAGGGCTTGCAAACTATTACGGACTACAAAGGGAGGCCCAGCCATGAGTTGCCCAGTGACACGAGCCTACCAGACGAGCTAAATGACATATGCGCGCTTTGAGGCAAGCAACACTGAAGCATGCATGAGAGCACCAGGACGTGTACTCCGCGTATGCGCTGACCAACTGGCAAGTGTATTCACTGACATTTTCAAGTCTGTAATACCTACATTTTTCAAGCAGACCACCATAGTCCCTGTGCCCAAGAACGCCAAGGTAACCTGCCTAAATGACTACCGACCCGTAGCACTCACGTCTGTAGCCATGAAGTGCTTTGAAAGGCTGGTAATGGCTCACATCAACACCATCATCCCAGAAACCCTAGACCCACTCCAATTCGCATACCGCCCCAACAGATCCACAGATGACGCAATCTCAATTGCACTCCACACTGCCCTTTCCCACCTGGAAAAAAGGAACACCTACGTGAGAATGCTGTTCATTGACTACAGCTCAGTGTTCAACACCATAGTGCCCTCAAAGCTCATAACTAAGCTAAGGACCCTGGGACTGAACACCTCCCTCTGCAACTGGATCCTGGACTTCCTGACGGGCCGACCCCAGGTGGTAACGGTAGGCAACAACACATCTGCCACGCTGATCCTCAACACAGGGGCCCCTCGGGTGCATGCTCAGTCCCCTCCTGGACACCCTGTTCACCCACAACTGCATGGCCAAGCACGACTCCAACACCATCATTACGTTTTTCGACGACACAACGGTGGTAGGCCTGATCACCGACAATGATGAGACAGCCGATAGGGAGGAGGTCAGAGACAACAACCTCTCCCTCAACATGATCAAGACAAAGGAGCTGATCGTGGACCATTCACATCGACATGACTGTAGTGGAGCAGGTCGAGAGCTTCAAGTTCACTGGGATCCACATCACCAACAAACGATCATGTTCCAAACACACCAAGACCGCTGTGACGAGGGCACGACAACTCCTATTCCCCCTCAGGAGACTGAAAAGATTTGGCATGGGTCCTCAGATCCTCAAAACGGTCTACAGCTGCACCATCGAGAGCATCCTGACTGGTTGCATCACCGCCTGGTATGGCAACTGCTTGGCATCCGACCGCAAGGTGCTACAGAGGGTAGTGCGTACAGCCCAGTACATCACTGGGGCCATGCTTCCTGCCATCCAGGACCTCTATACCAGGCGGTGTGAGAGGAAGGCCCTAAAAATAGTCAAATACTCCAGCCACTCTAGTCATAGACTGTTCTCTCTGCTACCGCACGGACAGACTTTATTTTACTGGCTGTTGTTTATGATTGGACTGAATGGGACAGGGAAGGAACAAGGCAACATGGTGGAATTGGTGCACTTTGACAAACAAAGTAGTATTTCACTATCGGTAACTGGCCACCCTTATATAAATTATATTGATATGGTATTGAGATACGTGTGAGGCCCCTGCTAACATGTAATGAAAGGAGGGGGATTTTATAACTTGAACACTTGTCTCTCTCTTTTGGCTGTTGTAGCTCTGTAAGCAGCTGTATGAAGTGATGACCAAGCTGGGAGAGCAACACTCGGACAAAATGTTCACCATACAAGGAGCGCCCAGGTGAGCAGTTTCTATATGTCAGCTTTAATATTGCAGATAGATTGTGGGTTCTATCAATGTAATTGTCTGCATAATTTCCAATCTCCCACATATTTTTTCTCTTAAAAAAAATATATATTTTCCTTCTTTATTATTTTACCCTAATCCTACCACCCCTCCCCTAATTGGAGTAAACTAATGGACAACAATACTTAGGTTTCTACTTCCAGCTTATACATACTATACTGAACAAAAATATAAACGCAACATGCAACAATTTGACTAAGTTACAGTTCGTCCTACATCAGGGCAAGGGCTGCTGCTGTTGTAGTGCATGTGGGATCAAATTGTATCAAAAAGGGTCAATCAGAGCTAATGAAACAGGATTTTAATGAGCTGTTTAACACCCTAAAAGGCTCTGAAAAGCAGCCGATCGCGGCTGCCGGGTCGCGGCTGCCGGGTCACGGCTGCCGGGTCACGGCTGCGAAAGGTTCAGCAGGCTCTTATCACTTCATATCTAGCGTAAAGACTAGTGCCACTTTGTTGGCATAACTTTTATTGACAATTTCGACACTTTTTGGAAACAAAAGATGCTCTACAGGGATGATGGACTCCACCCAAACCATCTATGAGCCTGAACCCTCTCTTCACATTTCAAGGCCGCATTTAGATATTGACTCAGAGACAGACCAAGCCCCGCTCAGGTAATACCTTCGATCCTCTCTAAGCGTTATCGTCGTACTGTTGTCTATACTTCTAGGGGTGTTGTCAGTTGTAATCTTGTACCCATTCGTCTGCTATTGTTAGCTCAAAAGAGGAGCCCACTGTGGCCTGCTCACCCAGTGATTTTAGTTAATATGTGAGTTCCATCAACTTGAATAACCCCTCGGTTTTCAAATCACATAGAGGGCTTGGGCTGTTGCAGGATAGCAACCAAAGCCCATATAAGTCAGTTTATAACATTCCATCATTGGTTACTCTGAGAGTTCCTCAAATTGACATTGGCTGTGGCCTCAGGCCCTATGGTGCTAACCTTGGAAAAGTAATTCCAATTTCTTCCTCTATTACTAATATGGATAGACCAAATGGTGCAGTTCAATGCAATCTTATAGCCATACCAACTATATCAATATCAACCATCAGACAGGGCCCACAACTGCAAATTGAACATAGCTTATTTGAGTTGGAGTTTCCACGTGACTTTAAAATTTGCAAAGGCCTTGGGTTGATGTATCTGAATATTAGGAGCTTACTTCCTAAACTGGATTATATTAAGATCTGGGTTATGCAGACAAATCCGGACATTCTCGTATTCACATTTACGTCATTTAGCAGACGCTCTTATCCAGAGCGACTTACAGTTAGTGAATACATATTTTTTTTTATACTGGCCCCCCGTGGGAAACGAACCCACAACCCTGGCGTTGCAAACGCCATGCTCTATCAACTGAGCTACATCCCTGCCGGCCATTCCCTCCCCTACCCTGGACGACGCTGGGCCAATTGTGCGCCGCCCATGAGTCTCCCGGTCGTGGCCGGCGGCGACAGAGCCTGGATTCGAACCAGGATCTCTAGTGGCACAGTTAGCACTGCGATGCAGTGCCTTAGACCACTGCGCCACTCAGGAGTACGACTGAAACTTGGATCTCTTGGGCCATTCTGGACTCTGATATTAATATTGAGGGCTATCATTTGTTCAGAGCTGACAGACAGGGTAGAGGGGGTGCAGTGGCCATTTTAATTAAAAATAATTTCTCTGTCTCTTTACTGAAATCCATTTCCCTTGCCAAAGAATTTGTGCTACTGTCCTTAAGCCTTTGTCTGGGGAAAGATTTATCAAAAACTGTCTACCATCCTCCCTCGGCTAACTTTTGCACTCAAGGAGTTAACTCGTTTGTTGCCTTCTTTTACTAAATCAGAAGTTATTATCCTGGGCGACCTAAATTATGATTGGGAAATGCAGGCAATCTAAGAAACGTGTAATGATCTAAACCTAACCGGCTCAACCCTAAAGATCCTTCAAAGTCAACTCTGATTGATCTTATTTTAACGAATACACCAGAGAAATATGTGTCTTCGCCCAATATATTAGTGACCATTGCCCAGTTGTTTATGTTAGAGATGTGAGGACACAATAATCTAAGCATCGCGTCATCACAAAGAAGAACTTAAAAAACTTAAGTGAACAGGCATTTTTACACAATCTTTATTTTAGTGACCTTAATTGTATTTCAGCTATCCCTGAACCTGATTTAGCTTTAAACCTCTTTGCTGATGTCTTCAATACTATTGGGGATAATCATGCTCCGTTAAAAAAATTAAGGGTTTGAAGGAAGATCGAATGCCTGGTACACTCCGGAATTATCAGAAGTCATTCAAGAAAGAGATGATGCTTGGGTCAAGGCCAGGAATGCAGGCTTAGGCCTGGGCTGGCAAGCTTTTAAGCAACTAAGGAATCATTGTGTAAAAAAAATCAGAAAGGCTAAATCTGATTATTATGTCATCGCTCTTTCAGATTGCAATGGAAACTTGGCTAAATTCTGGAAAACTGTCAAATCCCTGAAGGGTTCTACTTCCTCCTCTCTCCCACAACAAATTAATTCAGACACTGGCCTCATTACAGAAAAAAATGCCATCATTGATGCATTTAATCACCATTTTATTTCAGCGAGTTATCTCTTTGAAATAACTTTTAAGACTATTCACAATGATATTGGGCTGGATGCTGATATGGGAAACTTGCTGAATGATCAGAGAAATTATAGTCAAAGCTTTTCTTTTAGGCTATTTGTGACCGACCACCTCGATTCGGTCTTATGTAGCAACATTTTGAATGGTGTTTTTTACATTGGATAAAGGTAAAGACTCAGAGCTACAAAAGGGTAGATCATACACTGCAGTTGAGGAACAATGGGAAAGTAATTCTGCTTTGAAAGTTGATAAACTTTAACCCCACTTTTGAGAAAATGGCCCTTGTTTTGGTAAGCCTACTGTAGAGCTCTTCTTTGTCTACACCCATTCAGCATCATTCACACCCTCTTAAACCTTAGCCCCACCCATCTCTTTAAGGATTCACATGTGAGTCCATGTGCTAAACAAGGTGTAGTAAACAACCAAAGATTTCAATACTAAAAGTGGTGAAAGTAGTAGCCTACAATAAGGAAAAAACTCCAGGTAAAGATACACTATCTAGTCTCAAGAAGGCCAGTTTTATTGCTTCTTTAATCAGCACAACAGTTTTCAGCTGTGCTAACATAATTGCAAAAGGGTTTTCTAATGATCAATTAGCCCTTTAAAATTATAAACTTGGATTAGCAAACACAACGTGCCATTGGAACACAGGACTGATGGTTGCTGATAATGGGCCTCTGTACGCCTAGGTAGATATTCCATTAAAAATCAGCCGTTTCCAGCTACAATAGCCATTTACAACATTAACAATGTCTACACTGTATTTCTGATCGTTTTGATGTTATTTTAATGGACAAAAATATTTGCTTTTCTTTCGAAAACAAGGACATTTCTAAGTGACCCCAAACTTTTGAACAGGGGTGTACGTTCAAATGACTCTCCTGTGAAATAGTGAAATAGTGACATGCGATATAGGCCTAGCTTCTTGAAACTAGTAACATTTACAGACAAATAAGTCCTGGATGCTTTGCTAGCAATACACAACAAGAAATCCACAGGAGCCAACCAATTGGATCCTAGTCTGCTTAAGTGTGCAGCTCCTATCCTTGTTGGCTCAATAACCCAAATGTATTAATTATCAGGAAATATTCCAAAAGATAGCAGTGATCTTATTCATTATCACCTCATTTCAAGGCTTCCTTGTCTAGCTAAGATTCTCGAATCCTTGGTAAATGTACAACTTTGCTCTTTTTTATCTGAGAAATGCATTGGAAACCCATCAGGGTTTAGACCTGGGCATAGCACTATTACAGCAACCACTTTAGTTATTAATGATCTTGTCAATGCTTTAGACACTAAAACGAAATGTGCAGCTTTGTTTGTGGACTTCTCAAAAGCTTTTTATACTGTCGATCATGCTATTTTATTGAATAAGTTGTCCTCGATAGGCCTGAGCTCTGTCACCTGTTCATGGTTTCATGATTATCTTAGTGACAGAACTTAGGCCGTCGTGATTGATGGGGTTAAGTCTGAATTTCTTGAAGTGCATAAACCTGTTCTCTTCACTCTTTATATAAACACCATTGGTCAATCTGTAAAGAATTGTAAACTTAATCTATATGCGGATGATCCTATTATGTATGCTATTGCCCCGACTGTTGATCTGGCTGTGTCAAAACCACAGTCAGATTTTATAGCTATGCAGGAATCCCTTGCTGATTTAAAACTTGGGCTTAATACGGGCAAAACGGAATTCATGTTGTTTTTAAACTCTCATGAGAATGTTTCAGATGAATTACATGTTCACTCAATAGATGGTTCTCCAATCGAACTTGTTCCCGCATATAAATACTTAGGCATTTGGATTTATATGGATTTGACATACGTTTCTGTCTCACATGTGCAACATTTAAATGTATTTTAATTAAACCTTTCAAATTAACTAAATAGCTGCTTTCTATGTGTCTATCTGGGGACTGCGAGTTAGAGCATAATTACATAAATAGCATATCATATCCCAGTTTAATCCCAGCGTTTGCACACTCATCATTGTGCACGTTTCACATTTAATTTAAATGACAATAATAGTTTTCCCCCCCTCACATCACAAATATAGACAAGCCGTATTCCTTGAGTTAGCCTTTCTCCTGTTGGCGCATGTGTAAATGAGGTTAAAAAATATATATATCTTAATTGTTTAATCCTCTTTACCTCAGTGATTCAGGACCTTTGAGACTCTCTCGGGCCCCCTCGCCACCGGACAGCGACAGCGACGAGAGCCCAGCGGCCACTCCTAACCACATGCTGGCACCTGCCTCTCCCGGCCCGCCCCGGCCCAAATCTCCTTCAGGCCAGGTATGCCTTACCCCAATACAATCCTATTAACAGCCACAGGAATCTCCTACTTCAGTCCTGGATGCAGGCATTTGTTCCACCCTAGCACTAACACACCTGGTTCAGCTAATCACAGCCTTTATGATTGGCTGATTAGTTGAATCAGGTGTGTTTTCCATCGGCTAGAACAAAAAAGTCCACCCCTGTGGGTAACATGCTCTAACCAAACGCATGTAGCGCCAGTCCAAAGTATTTCAGTATACTGTATGATGCTCTAGTCTACTCAGTTGTACACTATCCATGTACAATTACACTCCACCGCGTGTGTTCCTTTGACGTATGCTAACCAACCACCTGTTCAGTAGTTTATGTGAATTTCCAGCTAATTCTGGTTCAACAAGAGATAATTCATTTTAAAGTGAAACTAATCAATGATTGCCTGTTTATTTGAGAATCCGATTTTTTTAACCCACTGTAGTTGTAGAGGCAGTTTGTGATTGATTGTATTGACTTGTTATGGCTCTATTTCTTCCACGCACACTTTATGTATTGTTATAATGGTGAGTAATAATATCTAATGTGGTGTCACATTCGTTTTTAAACACCAGGGTAGTGGTATGACTAGACCCAGAGTAGTGTTAGATTTAGGTCGCAATGTGTTGATAGTTATGAAAGTACAGTATGTGTGTGTGTGTGTGTGTGTGTGTGTGTTCATGCGTGCCTTTGCATGTGAACCGAAGAGGAGTATCTTAATAAACCAAAACACACTACCCCACCCAAATCTCCCTATAGGAACCCAAAACCCATAGCACATTTTCATCTATAGATTTTTGTTTCCCAAATGGAAGACTCAAATACACTTGTTGTCTTGGATGCCAACAATATTGTTGTTCTTGGATGCCAACATGGAGGTACAGTGCCTTCGGAAAGAATTCAGACTGCTTGACTTTTTCCACATTTTGTTACATTACAGCCTTATTCTAAAATGGATCAAATAAAAAACAATCCTGAGCGATCTACACACAATACCACACAATAACAGAAACATAAATACCTTATTTAAATAAGTATTCAGACCCTTTGCTATGAGACTTACAATTGAGCTCAAGTGCATCCTGTTTCCATTGATTATCCTTGAGATGTTTCTACAACTTGATTGGAGTCCACCTGTGGTAAATTCAATTGATTGGACGTGATTTGGAAAGTCACACACCTGTCTATATAAGGTCCCACAGTTGACAGCGCATGTCAGAGCAAAAACCAAGCCATGAAGTCGAAGGAATTGTCCGTAGAGCTCCGAGGGAGGATTGTGTCGAGGCACAGATCTGGGGAAGGTTACCAAAAAATGTCTGCATCATTGAAGATCCCCAAGAACACAGTGGCCTCCATCATTCTTAAATGGAAGAAGTTTGGAACCACCAAGACTCTTCCTAGAGATGGCCGCCCATCCAAACTGTGCAATCGGAGGAGAAGGGCCTTGGTCCAAGAACGCGATGGTCTCTCTGAATGAGCTCCAGAGTTCCTCTGTGGAAATGGGAGAACCTTCCAGAAGGACAACCATCTCTGCAGCACTCCACCAATCAGGCCTTTATGGAAGAGTGGCCAGACAGAAGCCACTCCTCAGTAAAAGGCACATGTTTGCCAAAAGGCACCTAAAAACTCTCAGACCATGAGAAACAAGATTCTCTGGTCTGATGAAACCAAGATTGAACTCTTTGGCCTGAATGCCATGTGTCACGTCTGGAGGAAACCTGACACCATCCCTACGGTGAAGCATGGTGGTGGCAGCATCATGCTGTGGGGATGTTTTTTAGCGGCAAGGACTGGGAGACTAGTCAGGATCGAGGCAAAGATGAACGGAGCAAAGTACAGAGAGATCCTTGATGAAAACCTGCTCCAGAGCGCTCAGGACCTCAGATTGGGGCGATGGTTCACCTTCCAACAGGACAACGACCCTAAGCACACAGCCAAGACAACGCAGGAGTGGCTTCGGGACAAGTCTCTGAATGTCCTTGAGTGGCCCAGCCAGAGCCAGGACTTGAACCAGATCGAACATCTCTGGAGAGACTTGAAAAAAGCTGTGCAGCAACGCACCCCATCCAACCTGACAGAGCTTGAGAGGATCTGCGGAGAAGAATGAGAGAAACTCCCCAAATACAGGTGTGCCAAGCTTGTAGTGTCATACCCAAGAAGGCTCGATTCTGTAATCGCTGCCAAAGGTGCTTCAACAAAGTCCTGAGTAAAGGGTCTGAATACTTATGTAAATGTGATATTTCCGGGTTTTTTTTATTTATAAATTAGCAAACATTTCTAAAAACCTGTTTTCACTTTGTCATTATGGGGTATTGTGTGTAGATTGATGAGGGGGAAAAAAACAATTTAATCAATTTTAGAATAAGGCTGTAATGTAACAAAAAGTCAAAAAAGTCAAGGGGTCTGAATACTTACCGAATTGCCTTCGGAAAGTATTCAGACCCCTTGACTTTTTCCAACACTAATGCTTCTGGCACCCTTCTCCACCTCCCCAGTTCAAAAAGGGACCGCCGGTGCCCCCGCCACCCAAGACCCCGACCAAGGATCTGCACCAGGAGCAGATAATCGACCTGTTTGGGGGCCAGTTCTTACCTGCGGCTACGCCCTCGCAGGTCAGTCACATCCTGGGTCCTATTTGACCATTTTAACAAGGGATTCTTATGCCCTCCTTTCCTTGGACATGCATTGACATGATTGAATTGGTGAAAGCTATGTAGTGGAACTATCTGTCTAGATGACCCTAGAGAGAGCGTTTTCATCACAATCCAGGGCCCGGTTTCCTGATAGCGATGGAACTTAGTCTTACGAGTGTTTTAACGATGCATCTTTCCTGCAATGGACAAAGACGTAACATGCATTTCCCAAAACACCACGCAGAGAGAACGTTCGCTAAGTGCGTCATTGACGCATACAGTGTGGGAAAAAAGTATTTGATCCCCTGCTGATTTTGTACGTTTGCCCACTGACAAAGACATGATCAGTCTATAATTTTAATGGTAGGTTTATTTGAACAGTGAGAGACAGAATAACAACAACAAATTCCAGAAAAACGCATTTCAAAAATGTTATAAATTGATTTGCATTTTAATGAGGGAAATAAGTACAGTGGGGAAAAAAGTATTTAGTTAGTCTCCTATTGTGCAAGTTCTCCCACTTAAAAAGATGAGAGAGGCCTGTAATTTTCATCATAGGTACACGTATACTATGACAGACAAATTGAGAAAAAAAATTCCAGAAAATTGTAGGATTTTCAATGAATTTATTTGCAAATTATGGTGGAAAATAAGTATTTGGTCAATAACAAAAGTTTCTCAATACTTTGTTATATACCCTTTGTTGGCAATGACACAGGTCAAACGTTTTCTGTAAGTCTTCACAAGGTTTTCACACACTGTTGCTGTTATTTTGGCCCATTCCTCCATGCAGATCTCCTCTAGAGCAGTGATGTTTTGGGGCTGTCGCTGGGCAAAACAGACTTTCAACTCCCTCCAAAGATTTTCTATGGGGTTGAGATCTGGAGACTGGCTAGGACCTTGAAAATGCTTCTTACGAAGCCACTCCTTCGTTGCCCGGGCGGTGTGTTTGGGATCATTGTCATGCTGAAAGACCCAGCCACGTTTCATCTTCAATGCCCTTGCTGATGGAAGGAGGTTTTCACTCAAAATCTCACGATACATGGCCCCATTCATTCTTTCCTTTACACGGATCAGTCGTCCTGGTCCCTTTGCAGAAAAACAGCCCCAAAGCATGATGTTTCCACCCCCATGCTTCACAGTAGGTATGGTGTTCTTTGGATGCAACTCAGCATTCTTTGTCCTCCAAACACGACGAGTTGAGTTTTTACCAAAAAGTTCTATTTTGGTTTCATCTGACCATATGACATTCTCCCAATCCTCTTCTGGATCATCCAAATGCACTCTAGCAAACTTCAGACGGGCCTGGACATGTACTGGCTTAAGCAGGGGAACACGTCTGGCACTGCAGGATTTGAGTCCCTGGCGGCGTAGTGTGTTACTGATGGTAGGCTTTGTTACTTTGGTCCCAGCTCTCTGCAGGTCATTCAATAGGTCCCCCCGTGTGGTTCTGGGATTTTTGCTCACCGTTCTTGTGATCATTTTGACCCCACGGGGTGAGATCTTGCGTGGAGCCCCAGATCGAGGGAGATTATCAGTGGTCTTGTATGTCTTCCATTTCCTAATAATTGCTCCCACAGTTGATTTCTTCAAACCAAGCTGCTTACCTATTGCAGATTCAGTCTTCCCAGCCTGGTGCAGGTCTACAATTTTGTTTCTGGTGTCCTTTGACAGCTCTTTGGTCTTGGCCATAGTGGAGTTTGGAGTGTGACTGTTTGAGGTTGTGGACAGGTGTCTTTTATACTGATAACAAGTTCAAACAGGTGCCATTAATACAGGTAACGAGTGGAGGACAGAGGAGCCTCTTAAAGAAGAAGTTACAGGTCTGTGAGAGCCAGAATTCTTGCTTGTTTGTAGGTGACCAAATACTTATTTTCCACCTTAATTTGCAAATAAATTCATAAAAAATCCTACAATGTGATTTTCTGGAAAAAAAATCTCAATTTGTCTGTCATAGTTGACGTGTACCTATGATGAAAATTACAGGCATCTCTCATCTTTTTAAGTGGGAGAACTTGCACAATTGGTGGCTGACTAAATACTTTTTTCCCCCACTGTATTTGACCCCCTCTCAATCAGAAAGATTTCTGGCTCCCAGGTGTCTTTTATACAGGTAACGAGCTGAGATTAGGAGCACACTCTTAAAGGGAGTGCTCCTAATCACAGCTTGTTACCTGTATAAAATACACCTGTCCACAGAAGCAATCAATCAGATTCCAAACTCTCCACCATGGCCAAGACCAAAGAGCTCTCCAAGGATGTCAGGGACAAGATTGTAGACCTACACACAAGGCTGGAATGGGCTACAAGACCATCGCCAAGCAGCTTGGTGAGAAGGTGACAACAGTTGGTGCGATTATTCGCAAATGGAAGAAACACAAAATAACTGTCAATCTCCCTCGGCCTGGGGCTCCATGCAAGATCTCACCTCGTGGAGTTGCAATGATCATGAGAACGGTGAGGAATCAGCCCAGAACTACACAGGAGGATCTTGTCAATGATCTCAAGGCAGCTGGGACCATAGTCACCAAGAAAACAATTGGTAACACACTACGCCGTGAAGGACTGAAATCCTGCAGCGCCCGCAAGGTCCCCCTGCTCAAGAAAGCACATATACAGGGCTGTCTGAAGTTTGCCAAGGAACATCTGAATGATTCAGAGGAGAACTGGGTGAAAGTGTTGTGGTCAGATGAGACCAAAATCGAGCTCTTTGGCATCAACTCCACTTGCCGTGTTTGGAGGAGGAGGAATGCTGCCTATGACCCCAAGAACACCATCCCCACCGTCAAACATGGAGGTGGAAACATTATGCTTTGGGGGTGTTTTTCTGCTAAGGGGACAGGACAACTTCACCGCATCAAAGGGACGATGGACGGGGCCATGTACCGTCAAATCTTGGGTGAGAACCTCCTTCCCTCAGCCAGGGCATTGAAAATGGGTCGTGGATTGGTATTCCAGCATGACAATGACCCAAAACACACGGCCAAGGCAACAAAGGAGTGGCTCAAGAAGAAGCACATTAAGGTCCTGGAGTGGCCTAGCCAGTCTCCAGAACTTAATCCCGTAGAAAATATGTGGAGGGAGCTGAAGGTTCGAGTTGCCAAACGTCAGGCTCGAAGCCTTAATGACTTGGAGAAGATCTGCAAAGAGGAGTGGGACAAAATCCCTCCTGAGATGTGTGCAAACCTGGTGGCCAACTACAAGAAACGTTTGACCTCTATGATTGCCAACAAGGGTTTTGCCACCAAGTACTAAGTCATGTTTTGCAGAGGGGTCAAATACTTATTTCCCTCATTAAAATGCAAATCAATTTATAACATTTTTGAAATGCGTTTTTCTGGAATTTGTTGTTGTTATTCTGTCTCTCACTGTTCAAATAAACCTACCATTAAAATTATAGACTGATCATGTCTTTGTCAGTGGGCAAACGTACAAAATCAGCAGGGGATCAAATACTTTTTTCCCTCACTGTATATTTTTCAACTTTCCTAATATTAAGCACATTGCTTATATTTACAACAGGAGTATAGCCTACCTGGCTGGCATGAAAATAAACCACGAGGAAAAGCATCCTCCATTCGCTATTTAAGTGCATAGATTACATGTATTTTTTCCCGCTGCCCATGTTTCGGGACAGTTGCATGATAATGGTCCATTCTAAATCAAAACAAATTTCACACATATATTATTTAGTATATGTAAAGACAAGATTAAATCAAGAATAGTCTGATGGTTGACAATATTAGCCTATCACTTGTGAATTATATACAGTGGGGAAAACAAGTATTTGATTCACTGCCGATTTTGCAGGTTTTCCTACTTACAAAGCATTTAGAGGTCTGTCATTTTTTATCATAGGTACACTTCAACTGTGAGAGACGGAATCTAAAACAAAAATCCAGAAAATCACATTTGTATGATTTTTAAGTAATTAATTTGCATTTTATTGCATGACATAAGTATTTGATCACCTACTAACCAGTAAGAATTCCGGCTCTCACAGACCTGTTAGTTTTTCTTTAAGAAGCCCTCCTGTTCTCCACTCATTACCTGTATTAACTGCACCTGTTTGAACTCGTTACCTGTATAAAGACCTGAGCCATGTGAGTGTGAGGTGCTTCGGAGGATGCAGCACTCCGGGCCAAGGGCACAATGGCCACTGGCTGCAAAAGGCATGGATTTTTTTAGGGTGAATTACGTCCACACAAAGGGGATGCCGCCAGGAAATTCGAGGCATTAGCAAGTGCTTGTCAAATTGTGAATGAGAGACTGATGAAGTGTACAGACTGCGCAAAAAACAAAGCAGAGCTCATGCCTTTCAAGTGACTTTTTTCAAATCATCATTACAGCCTTACAATGTATTAAAAATCAAAACATAGCCCAATGTTTGTAGAACAACTAAAGCTACATTAATAAGTCTAAATTAAGCATATAGGAGTACCTATTTCTTTGTTAACCGCTCAATACAGAATAGTATTGTGCGCACTCCCTCGAATCGTTTGGAGAAAATATCCATTCTATTTTATTCAGCTTTGTATTGTATTCTTCATACTATAATATAAAATAATGCCACAGAATTCTAAGCAAATATTGTCTGCTAAATTAACTAGTGTAGCCCACAGCCATTTGGCATAGCCAGATCAGGACCGAACAAGGACAACTCAGAGTATGCGATTCTGTTCTTCTAAAATAGACTACATTTTCTTCATATCATGTTTCTTTAGACCTGTCTAAAATAAAGAATGGATTTATTGTGAAGGTGTAGGCTATTTTACATGGATTTATTAGACTTTTAAAAATGTAGATGTTCCAAAGGTCTGCGTCAGTGGCTTGTAGGCTATGTGTGGAATCCAGGAGATGCTAAATTAGTTTATGTTAATTAACGGTCAATTACCGTGAGACCGACAGTTATTTGCTTGACAATCACCGGCTGACGAAATTTCGTGACCGCCACAGCCCTAATTGTAACGCTGACTGCAAGCCAGGCCTAATCGCCCAACATCAGTGCCCGACCTCACTAATGCTCTTGTGGCTGAATGGAAGCAAGTCCCCGCAGCAATGTTCCAACATCTAGTGGAAAGCCTTCCCAGAGGAGTAGAGGCTGTTATAGCAGCAAATGGGGGACCAACTCCATATTAATGCCCATGATTTTGGAATTAGATGTTCGACGAGCAGATGTCCATATACTTTTAGTCATGTAATGTATGTTTAGCGTAGCTCTTCTGTGTATAAAGTGACGAGGTAGGGAAAAAACGCGTCTAACGACGCACTTAGCTATTCTACGAGGCTGTCGGTAAATAACGAGGATTATCGAGTGCAACTTTAGTAACTATGGTTTTGGGAAACAGCTCAAAGATTTAACGATGCTCCTACGAAGGTTCTACTGATGAACTTAGCCTTAAGATGCTTTTGGGAAACGGGCCCTGAACTGTTCAGTAGACTCCACAACAGACCACGTCAATAGCCACAATTGTCTTCTTTTGTGTCTTTATCTGGCTTTTTCAAAGTATTCGAACTGAGCACTAAAATACTCTCCACAACCACCTGAGATGCAGAGGTGGCCATTGAGTATTATCTCCGCTAGCATGCCCCGTCATAGTTCCATCTATTACAGTATTGTTTTTTTCTGGTCCTGGTGGCCACAGTGTTTGCAGGTTTTCCACCGGTGGGAGTGGGATATATTGAACATTATTATTATAGAGGGGAGGGGTCAAAGGTTTATTAAGAGAGTGCCGTCAAGATTACAAATCCCTTATAAACTACAAAGGATACAAATAACCTGGGGCCATATGAAGCGTCTCAAAGTAGGAGTGCTGTTCTAGGATCAGTTTTGCCTTTGATATCACAAGGAATAAGATTACAAAGACAGGGAGGATGAACCTGATCCTAGATCAGCACTCCTATTCTGAGATGCATGATAGATACGGCTCCTGATCTCACATGTTCAGCCTTTCAGTACAGTTGTGTTAGAGAGCTGTTAACTCAACCAACACTTGAATTCTATTATTTGCAGCCAAATGAAAGACCCGGAGAATCACTCCTGGATCTGGACTTTGATCCATTCAAGCCTGACGGCAACACCACTATCGGACAGGCTGCGCCCCCCATAACACAGGTCAATTTCTCTCCATTTTCATCTATTATACTACAATGCTATGTTATCCGTCTTAAATGTATCTTATATTCAGCTTTAAATGTTTCTGTACAGTAGATACTGTATATCTCTGTTCTCTCTAGTAAAATCTGTCCACACCAATAGAGCACATAGAGTGCTCTTCATTCATAGTGAATAATCATGTGTTTTGTTCTACAGCAGCTACCCTGGGATTTGTGGACAGTAAGTACAGTAATATCCTCCTTGATTGATTAATTGGTTGAATGATTGGTTGGTTGATGGGATTGATAACCTTGATGTATGAGATAGTCGTTAGTTATAATGCACTATAATAATTTATATTATACCTAGATATGTTAGAGAATCAAGTATACATTCCTTTTTATAAAATTGACCGGTCGTAGACTTTGAATTTTGAAAAATACAAGACTACAACCCATTTTACATGTCGCCATTTAGCACTGATTCATTATTAAAGTGTTTCAATCAAGTGAAAAATTCAGAAAATCCATTGTGAGCAAACGCTATCAGTCTAAACATGTAGGAATCCTGACCTCTACTAGCTTTGATCTGCATGCTCAGTAGACTAAATAAAAACAAAGTAGCCATTTTGTGGCTTTTGTTATGACAAATGGTTTTTCTCCCATGCAACAGTATTTAGGACTACCAAATAGCAGATTGCAAGTTAAGTTCCAAGCAATGAACTTGCCCCTGTCTTATTCTTCTGCTGCTCCATGTACAGTTTTATTACAATTTGTATGTGTAACGATGAATGAAAGTTATATTTATTTTGGTTCTTATTGATTTAAAAAAAACTGCTCTCTTCTACCGGTAGATGGTTATCTTAATTTGCTTGTGATCTCTTTTACAGTAGTATACTATAGAATCTGACATTAAATACAAATTATTTCTTCCCAGGGAAATGCTGAACCTGTGCAGCCTGTAAGTAATACATCCACACCTGACTTCCAAATCACTTTCGGAGAATATTTACGTGCCTTGATTTCTAATTGTTAATATCTATGACCTCTGGTCGTACCTGTCATCAAGCCAGTTGTTTGATACCTGTATGTTTTTCACACTCTTCATCACAATCCAGAACTGTTCACTAGACTTCACCACAGACCACTCCATTAGCCACAATCCACAGTCACGATTGTCTTCTTTTGTGTCTATGCCTTGTCTTCTTTCTTTACCTCTGTCAATTATTTCACTTTCTCTCTATATGTCCTTCTCTCATGATAAACACTCTCTGTCCTCTCTTTACCTCACCTTCACACACCGGCTTGGTCCTTCCAGACGGATTCTGAGTCTGTGAGTACTGTGGGTGTGGAGGAGGATGGGGGTGGCGGTGGCGAGGCCCCGAACGCTGCCAACTTTAACCCTGGGTTCCCCGCATTCCCCGAGCAGGCGGGAGACCCCAGCTTCTCCACCGACTGGGCTGCTGACTTCAGCTCGGCCCCGGGGAAAGGAGACTCTTTCCCGTCTGCCACCGAGGCGGCAGCCGGCGAGGTTCCAGCGACGACAGGGCAGGACGAGGCCCAAGGCTGGCCTGCAGCGGACGGCTGGGGCGGGGAGGCAGGGGAGGCAACAGCAGCAGAGCAGCCGCAGGGGGCCGAAACGGCCGCAGCTGGAGACGAGGTTAGCGGCTGGGACCCCAACCCCCAACTTACCCCCAACTGTGATCCTTGTGCAGTGGGGGGCGACCAGCAGGCCCAGCAGGAGCCGGGGCAGGGGCCACCAGAGGCAGGGTCATGGGGATGGGAAGCAGGAGAGGCAGGGGAGGCAGAGAAAGGGAAGGCAGGGTCAGGAGAGGGACGGGAGGCAGGGTGGGGAGCAAGTCAGGCAGATTCAGAGGGAGATGAGGCAGGTTGGAGAGATCGTCGCAAATCCACACCGGGCCTGCGCATCACCAACGAGCATGGCCAGGTGATTGAGGACACCCCTCAAGGCAGCGAGCATGGCCTGTACCTGGTGCAGCCGGACGGCAAAGGTGGTTTCGACTCAGAATATGAGACGATGGAGGAGTGGGGGGACTCAGCGGGGCAGAACGGAGGCTGGGCCAGCGCTGACGATGAACTGGACCCTGCCGCAGACCAGGGTCTCGCAGACCAGGGTCTCACAGACCATAGCACAGCCCAGGGAGGCTTCGCAGACTGGGCTTCAAGTGATCGGGCCGCCCCCTTGCAAGAGGAGAAGGCTCTGGCAAGCGATGCAGGGTTCGCAACGGACTGGGCCCAACCAACAGAACAGGCACCAACGCAGTCTGCCGAAACAGGGACAGCAGTCACGGATCCAACCAGTGTCCCAGAACAGGGCTCAACCGGTGAACCGGTGATCGATTTTGGGACCGATCCTTTTGCAGAGATCCCTGGGGGAGGTGGCGGGGAAGGTGGTTTTGAGTCTGACCCCTTTGCAGAGACGCCTGGGGGATTTGCCTCAGATCCTTTTGCGGAGACTCATAGGGAAGGCGGGGGAGGTGATTTTGCGTCTGATTATTTTGCGGAAACTCATGTGGGAGGGGGATTCGAGTCTGGTCCCTTTGCCGTAAATCAAGGGGGAGGTGGGGAAGTTAGATTTGCGACGGATCCATTCGCTGAGACGACCGGGGAAGGTGGGGCAGGGTGGGCGGCAGACCCTTTCGCTAACAATGGTTCAGCCCAGTGGGCAGGTTTCCCCGCTCCCTCCGCAGAGACAGGGGGCGCCACCACCGACAGCGGGTCCTGGCAGGAAGTCAGCGACAGCAGTGGCTTCTTCTCCTCAGGGGGTGACAGCAGCCAGGCAGGGGACCTCTTCGCCTCCTTTCCCGGGCCAGGAAGCGAAGCAGTAGCTAAGGAAGGAGTCGTCCCCCGAGCTCACAAAGAGCCTGAGAACTCGGACCTGTCCGAAGACGAGGTCGCGAACAGGAGATACGGAAAGTTGTACCAAGAGATAGATACAGAGAAGGAAGAGGTACCTGACTTCCTCCCCCCTCTACGTAGAGAGTAGCGTAGAGTAGACTAGAGCAAACAGAATCCCCTCTTCCTTATTTTCCCTCCCGCAGATGTACAAATAATAAAATAAAAAGTGCTGTCCCGCAACCCTACCTGGATCCTGCAGCGCCACAGAATCCCAGCCCTCTTCTCCTCTCTCTCCTCTGCTTGCTTGTCTGCTTGTCGGTTCCACTTTGTCAATTTTATAAAAAACATTCCATCTCTTGCCGCATAATTAAAACACATTTCAAAGCAGTCATGCCAAAAGCCTCAAATACTAATTGTGTGTCTGTGATTCGATTTAGGTGACCAACAATGCATTTAACGGATTTCCCCAGGTAATTAGTCTCGACCGAATTTGTATTTCTATTGTAGTGATCACAAGATGATATTGAGAAAAGGATTCATCACTACCTTGTTAGTTAGAGCAGATGGTTTGTCATTATAATAACTAAAATCTAATATGGTAGAGGACAGGATGGATCAAGTTGGATCAGTTGCAACAGAACATTAGGAGGAGATGTTCCCATTTTTTGGTTTAATATAATCTCCATTTGTGTCAGGTATTTTTTTGTATTTCCTCCTGTGAATGGAATTACTTGTTGAAACTGACCATAAATATTATACACTATATATACAAAAGTATGTGGACACCCCTTCAAATTAGTGGATTTGGCTATTTCAGTCACACCCATTACTGATAGTTGTATAAAATCGAGCACACAGCGATTCAATCTCCATAGACAAACATTTGCAGTAGAATGGCCTTACTGAAGAGCTCAGTGACTTTCAACGTGGCTCCATCATGCCACCTTTCCAATAAGTCAGTTCGTCAAATTTCAGCCCTGCTAGAGCTGCCCCGGTCAACTGTAAATGCTGTTATTGTGAAGTGGAAACGTCTAGGAGCAACAACAGTTCAGCCACGAAGTGGTAGGCCACACAAGCTCACAGAACGGAACCGGTGAGTGCTGTAGCATGTAGCGTGTCAAAATCGTCTGTCCTCGGTTGCAACACTCACTACCGAGTTCCAAACTGTCTCTGGAAGCAACGTCAGCACAAGATCTGTTAGACGGGAGCTTCATGAAATGGGTTTCCATGGCCGAGCAGCCGCACGCAAGCATTGGGGCAGGATAACGCTACCTGCCCCAATGCATAGTGCCAACTGTAATGTTTGTTGGAGGAGGAATAATGGTCTGGGGCTGTTTTTCATGGTACGGGCTATTTCCAGTGAAGGGAAATGTTAACGCTACAGCATACAATGACATTCTAGACGATTCTGTGCTCCCAACTTTGTGGCAACAGTTTGGGGAAGGCCCTTTCCTGTTTCAGCATGACATTGTCCCCATGCACAAATCGATGTCCATTCAGAAATGGTTTGCCGAGATCAGTGTGGAAGAACTTGACTGGCCTGCACAGAGCCTGACCTCAACCCCATCGAACACCTTTGGGATGAATTGGAATAGCAACTGCGAGCCACGCCTAATCGCCCAACATCAGTGCCCGACCTCACTATTGCTCTTGTGGATGAATGGAAGCAAGTCCCCGCAGCAATGTTCCAAAAGCTATTGGATAGCCTTCCCAGAAGAGTGGAGGCTGTTAAAGCAGCAAAGGGGGGACCATCTCCATATTAATGCCCATGATTTTGGAATGAGATGTTCGATGAGCAGGTGTCCACATACTTTTGGTCATGTAGCTTACTTACTTGCAGATTAATTGAAACAACTGAAGTATTTAAATTAGGTATAAAGTGAAGTTAGGTGATCGTAGGCCGCAAAAGCTTATCTCCTGATGTTGTTCGTGGTTGGGATTATTTACGCACGCGTTGTTTAACAAAGTTACTTTAATAATACTACCCAATTTGAGAAAGTAACAAGTTACTTTACTCTGTTACTCATCAAAATAATCTGATTACGTAACACGTTACTTCTGTAATGCATTACCCTCAACACTGGTTTCAATTGACCCATAACATTGAACTTCCAGTTATATAAAAAGCAGTTCCTGTTGTGTATAAAGAAGCCAAAGACTGACTTGAATATTATATCCATCATTATATGAATGTAGGAAGTACATGGTGTTACATTTTAAGGATGTTACAATAAACTAGAACTAAACTACAGTTTTGTAAACTAACCAGGTATGTAGTGGTAAAACAAAAGTTGGGTAAACTTATGCTAACAACAATAATGTAGTTGGACAAACTTGCTAATATAGTGTAATTGGTGCCTAAACACTATTCACTGTTTAAAAAGGTAGATCAACTATGCTAACATGAGTTTACCCTCCACTTCATCCCGGTTACAAACACTTTGTCAGTCCCTCACTAATACTTTCCCCAAAATTATCCCATCATAACTTACCTTTGAAAACTAACATTTATATGCTCTGATACTTTATTGTATTTTAAATTGCTGGTTTGTTGCCAGTGTAGTTTTAACTTTCTCCCTCTCTCTCTTTCTCTTTTCACCACCTTATGTTAAAGATGGAAGCAACTGCCCCAACATTTGTTGCTGATTTTGATAAGCTGGTGAGTCAACAGTGTCTCTCATCACATTGCTCTTCCAATACTATTTTTTATGTCCTTATATTTACTTTATTTAATGTATGTATATATATATATATATATATATATATATATACACAGTACCAGTCAAAAGTTTGGACACACCTACTCATTCAAGGGTTTTTCTTTATTTTTACTATTTTCTGCATCAAAACTATGAAATAACACATATGGAATCATGTAGTAACCACAAACGTATTAAACAAATCAAAATCTATTTTATATTTGAGATTCTTCAAATAGACACCCTTTGCCTTGATGACAGCTTTGCACACTCTTGGCATTCTCTCTACCAGCTTCACCTGGAATGCTTTTCCAACAGTCTTGAAGGAGTTCCCACATATGCTGAGCACTTGTTGGCTGCTTTTCCTTCACTCTGCGGTCCGACTCATCCCAAACCATCTCAGTTGGGTTGAGGTCGGGGAATTGTGGAGGCCAGGTCATCTGATGCAGCACTCTATCACTCTCCTTCTTGGTAAGATAGCCCTTACACAGCCTGGAGGTGTGTTGGGTCATTATCCTGTTGAAAAACAAATGATAGTCCCACTAAGCCCAAACCAGGTGGGATGGCGTATCGCTGCAGAATGCTGTGGTAGCCATGCTGGTTAAGTGTGCCTTGAATTCTAAATAAATCACAGATAGTGTCACCAGCAAAGCACCCCCACACCATAACACCTCCTCCTCCATGCTTTACGGTGGGAATTACACATGCGGAGATCATCCGTTCACCCACACCGCATCTCACAAAGACACAGCGGTCGGAACCAAAAATCTCCAATTTGGACTCCAGACCATTGCTTGTGTTTATTGGCCCAAGCAAGTCTCTTCTTCTTATTGGTGTCCTTTAGTAGTGGTTTCTTTGCAGCAATTCGACCATGAAGGCCTGATTCACACAGCCTCCTCTGAACAGTTGATGTTGAGATGTGTCTGTTACTTGAACTCTGTGAAGCATTTATTTGGGCTGCAATTTCTGAGGCTGGTTACTCTAATGAACGTATCCTCTGCAGCAGAGGTAACTGGGTCTTCCATTCCTGTGGAGGTCCTCATGAGAGCCAGTTTCATCATAGCGCTTGATGGTTTTTGCGACTGCATTTGAAGAAACATTCAAAGTTCTTGACATTTTCTGTATTGACTGACCTTCATGTCTTAAAGTAATGTTGGACTGTCGTTTCTCTTTGCTTATTTGAGCTGTTCTTGCCATAATATGGACTTGGTATTTTACCAAATAGGGCTATCTTCTGTATACCCCCCTACCTTGTCACAACACAACTGATTGGCTCAAACGCATTAAAAAGGAAAAAAAATCCACACACTAACTTTTAAGATGGCACACCTGTTAATTGAAATGCATTCCAGGTGACTACCTCATGAAGCTGGTTGAGAGAATGCCAAGAGTGTTCAAAGCTGTTATCAAGGCAAAGGGTGGCTATTTGAAGAATCTCAAATATAAAATATATTTCGATTTGTTTAACACTTTTTTGGTTACTACATGATTCCATATGTGTTATTTTATAGTTTTGATGTCTTCACTATTGTTCTACAATGTAGAAAATAGTAAAAATAAATAAAAACCCTTGACTTTGTAGGTGTTCTAAAACTTTTGACCGATAGTGTGTGTGTGTGTGTGTGTATATATAGTGGGGAGAACAAGTATTTGATACACTGCCGATTTAGCAGGTTTTCCTACTTACAAAGCATGTAGAGGTCTGTAATTTTTATCATAGGTACACTTCAACTGTGAGAGACGGAATCTAAAACAAAAATCCAGAAAATCACATTGTATGATTTTTAAGTAATTAATTTGCATTTTTATTGCATGACCTAAGTATTTGATACATCAGAAAAGCAGAACTTAATATTTGGTACAGAAACATTTGTTTGCAATTACAGAGATCATACGTTTCCTGTAGGTCTTGACCAGGTTTGCACACACTGCAGCAGGGATTTTGGCCCACTCCTCCATACAGCCAGTCTCCAGATCCTTCAGGTTTCGGGGCTGTCGCTGGGCAATACGGACTTTCAGCTCCCTCCAAAGATTTTCTATTGGGTTCAGGTCTGGAGACTGGCTAGGCCACTCCAGGACCTTGAGATGCTTCTTACGGAGCCACTCCTTAGTTGCCCTGGCTGTGTGTTTCGGGTCGTTGTCATGCTGGAAGACCCAGCCACGACCCATCTTCAATGCTCTTACTGAGGGAAGGAGGTTGTTGGCCAAGATCTCGCGATACATGGCCCCATCCATCCTCCCCTCAATACGGTGCAGTCGTCCTGTCCCCTTTGCAGAAAAGCATCCCCAAAGAATGACGTTTCCACCTCCATGCTTCACGGTTGGGATGGTGTTCTTGGGGTGGTACTCATCCTTCTTCTTCCTCCAAACACGGCGAGTGGAGTTTAGACCAAAAAGCTCTATTTTTGTCTCATCAGACCACATGACCTTCTCCCATTCCTCCTCTGGATCATCCAGATGGTCATTGGCAAACTTCAGACGGGCCTGGACATGCACTGGCTTGAGCAGGGGGACCTTGCGTGCGCTGCAGGATTTTAATCCATGACGGCATAGTGTGTTACTAATGGTTTTCTTTGAGACTGTGGTCCCAGCTCTCTTCAGGTCATTGACCAGGTCCTGCCGTGTAGTAGAGGTTGGAGTCTGTTTGATTGAGTGTGTGGACAAGTGTCTTTTATACAGGTAACGAGTTCAAACAGGTGCAGTTAACACAGGTAATGAGTGGAGAACAGGAGGGTTTCTTAAAGAAAAACTAACAGGTCTGTGAGAGACGGAATTCAAACTGGTTGGTAGGTGATCAAATACTTATGTCATGCAATAAAATGCAAATTAATTACTTACAAATCATACAATGTGATTTTCTGGATTTTTGTTTTAGATTCCGTCTCTCACAGTTTAAGTGTACCTATGATAAACAATTACAGACCTCTACATGCTTTGTAAGTAGGAAAACCTGCAAAATCGGCAGTATATCAAATACTTTTTTTCATTTTATTGCATGACATAAGTATTTGATCACCTACCAACCAGTAAGAATTCCGGCTCTCACAGACCTTTTAGTTTTTCTTTAAGAAACCCTCCTGTTCTCCACTCATTACCTGTATTAACTGCACCTGTTTGAACTCGTTACCTGTATAAAAGACACCTGTCCACACACTCAATCAAACAGACTCCAACCTCTCCACAATGGCCAAGACCAGAGAGCTGTGTAAGGACATCAGGGATAAAATTGTTGACCTGCACAAGGCTGGGATGGGCTACAGGACAATAGACAAGCAGCTTGGTGAGAAGGCAACAACTGTTGGCGCAATTATTAGAAAATGGAAGAAGTTCAAGATGACGGTCAATCTCCCTCGGTCTGGGGCTCCATGCAAGATCTCACCTCGTGGGGCATCAATGATCATGAGGAAGGTGAGGGATCAGCCCAGAACTACACGGCAGGACCTGGTCAATGACCTGAAGAGAGCTGGGACCACAGTCTCAAAGAAAACCATTAGTAACACACTATGCCGTCATGGATTAAAATCCTGCAGCGCACGCAAGGTCCCCCTGCTCAAGCCAGTGCATGTCCAGGCCCGTCTGAAGTTTTCCAATGACCATCTGGATGATCCAGAGGAGGAATGGGAGAAGGTCATGTGGTCTGATGAGACAAAAATAAAAAAAATTGGTCTAAACTCCACTCGCCGTGTTTGGAGGAAGAAGAAGGATGAGTACCACCCCAAGAACACCATCCCAACCGTGAAGCATGGAGGTGGAAACGTCATTCTTTGGGGATGCTTTTCTGCAAAGGGGACAGGACGACTGCACCGTATTGAGGGGAGGATGGATGGGGCCATGTATCGCGAGATCTTGGCCAACAACCTCCTTCCCTCAGTAAGAGCATTGAAGATGGGTCGTGGCTGGGTCTTCCAGCATTACAACGACCCGAAACACACAGCCAGGGTAACTAAGGAGTGGCTCCGTAAGAAGCATCTCAAGGTCCTGGAGTGGCCTAGCCAGTCTCCAGACCTGAACCCAATAGAAAATCTTTGGAGGGAGCTGAAAGTCCGTATTGCCCAGCGACAGCCCCGAAACCTGAAGGATCTGGAGAAGGTCTGTATGGAGGAGTGGGCCAAAATCCCTGCTGCAGTGTGTGCAAACCTGGTCAAGACCTACAGGAAACGTATGATCTCTGTAATTCCAAACAAAGGTTTCTGTACCAAATATTAAGTTCTGCTTTTCTGATGTATCAAATACTTATGTCATGCAATAAAATGCAAATTAATTACTTAAAAATCATACAATGTGATTTTCTGGATTTTTGTTTTAGATTCCGTCTCTCACAGTTGAAGTGTACCTATGATAAAAATTACAGACCTCTACATGCTTTGTATGTAGGAAAACCTGCAAAATCGGCAGTGTATCAAATACTTGTTCTCCCCACTGTATATGTGTGTGTATAATGCTGTTGAGGGAATATTATTTGAATCAGACAATTAAGGATTCACTTCAGATATTTATTTTCATTTTTTTGGTGACCCTATTCTGTTATAGTGTTGTGTTTTTATGTACTGTCATTCAGTTGTATTTGTTAAAGCTACAATATGTACGTTGTTGGTCGACCCGACCAAATTTTCATAGAAATGTGAGTTATAGAATGTCATGCTCATTGAAAGCAAGTCTAAGAAGTGTTAGATCTGTTCTATGTGCGCTATTTCTATATTTCCCGTTCTGAAGTTTTTTGTTTTTGCGTCTTTTACTTTCGGTTTTGTACACCAGCTTCAAACAGCTGAATATAAAATATTTTGGGTTATGGAAAATATATTTCACAGCGGTTAAGACAGTACAATGATTTTCGACACGATAACTGCTTGTTTTGTCACGTAAACTGAAATTAGGCAAATTATTAGAATTTTTGCAACCAGGAAATGGTGGAGCGATTTCTGCGTAGTGCATCTTTAAGTGCAGTTTTTGAAGTGTTCACACTTATGTTGAATTTGTTATCCAAAAACACTTATGTTTTATTTTTTGTATTACTGCCTAAATGCGCAAACTGTACTCTGAAGCAACATTTAAACTAGACTCAGCAATATTGAATCATCATATTGTACATAGAGGAACAACTTCCTGCATACAGACCTCAACATCAACAATATTTTAATCTGTCAAGACTGCCCCTATTAGTATTTATTTGGGCTGCAATTTCTGAGGCTGGTAACTCTAATGAACTTATCCTCTGCAGTAGAGGTAACTCTGGGTCTTCCATTCCTGTGGAGGTCCTCATGAGAGCCAGTTTCATCATAGCGCTTGATGGTTTTTGCGACTGCACTTGAAGAAACTTTCAAAGTTCTTGAAATGTTCCGTATTGACTGACCTTCATGTCTTAAAGTAATGATGGACTGTCGTTTCTCTTTGCTTATTTGAGCTGTTCTTGCCATAATATGGACTTGGTCTTTAACCAAATAGGGTTGTCTTCTGTATACCCCCCTACCTTGTCACAACACAACTGATTGGCTCAAACACATTAAGAAGGAAAGAAATTCCACACATTAACTTTTAAGAAGGCACACCTGTTAATTGAAATGCATTCCAGGTGACTACCTCATGAAGCTGGTTGAAAGAATGCCAAGAGTGTGCAAAGCTGTTATCAAGGCAAATGGTGGCTATTTGAAGAATCTCAAATATTAAATATATTTTGATTTGTTTAACACGTTTTTGGTTACTACATGATTCCATATGTGTTATTTCATCGTTTTGATGGCTTCACTATTATTCTACAATGTAGAAAATAGTAAAAATAAAGAAAAACCCTTGAATTTGTAGGTGTTCTAAAACTTCTGACCAGTAGTGTGTGTGTGTGTGTGTGTGTATATATATGTATGTATATATATGTATGTATGTGGGTGTGTATAATGTTGTTGAGGGAATATTATTTGAATCAGACAATTAAGGATTCACTTCATATATTTATTTTCATTTTTTGTGACCCCATTCCGTAATAGTGTTGTGTTTTGTGTACTGTCATTCAGTTGTATTTGTTAAAGCTGCAATATGTACGTTTTTGGTCGAACCGACCAAATTTACATAGAAATGTGAGTTATAGATCTGTCATGCTCATTGAAAGCAAGTCTTAAGAAGCATTAGATCTGTTCTATGTGCGCTATTTCTATGTTTCCCGTTCCTAAGGTTATTTTTTGCGTCTTTTACTTTCGATTTTGTACACCAGCTTCAAACAGCTGAAATGCAATGTTTTTGGTTATGGAAAATATATTTCACAGCGGTTTAGATGGTACAATGATTCTCTACACTATACTTCCTTGTTTTGTTACATAAACTTAAATTAGGCAAATTATTAGAATTTTTGCAACCAGGAAATGGTGGAGCGATTTCTGCATAGTGCAGTTTTTGAAGTGTTCACACTTATGTTGAATTTGTTATCCAAAAACATTTAATTGTTTAATTTTTTTGTATTACTGCCTAAATTCACAAACTTTACTCTGAAGCAACATTTAAACTAGACTCAGCAATATTGAATCATCATATTGTACATAGAGGAACAACTTCCTGCATACAGACCTCACCACAACATTTTAATCTGTCAAGACTGCCCCTATTAGCTCTTCCCAATTTGTGTCCTCCCTTGAGGTATTTCCACACTAGGAAGAGGCAACAGTGACAATCTGTTCTGATTTGAATTCTGTGATATCTGTAAGGTTGCCTTGTATGATGTCATATTATTAAGTCTACCTTTAAGGGCTTCAACCACCTTTATTCTCTGTTGAAACCGCATAACTAACTCAATCAATTGTAGATAAAAGGAAACTGAACTGCAGTTCCACTCAGAATGTTGTAATGTAGGCTTTCTGAAGGGTTTATCATGTAAAGAACGATACACCTTACCTCACGCAAACATTGTCATTCAATGTTGATGTGAAACGAAAATTGAAAATACATGTTAAACATTCTGAGTGAACATGCAGAATGTTTTCATTTATCTGCATAATATTGAATTGGGGGGTCCAATTTGAGCCACATTCAGTTATACAGGGGGTAAAAGGGCTAAACAGCCATACCTACCCAGGTTAATAATAATAATAATAATGATAATTCATTTTATCGCTAGTGCATTTGTTGCACCCAACTACACAGCATAATCAAAAAGTACAAAAGAGGTATGGTGAGGTGGGACAGGGGTGGTTGTGGGGCTGCTGTAATGTGTAAGACAGGGGATGTTGATCAGCTCTTCCCTCGCCTGTCTTTGTGGAAAGATTGAAAGCAAGGCCGTGGCCCCTGAAGCTGCAGTGCCCCCAGCTGAGACTGCTGTGGCCCCGGAGGCCCCAGCTGAGACTGCTGTGGCCCCGGAGGCCCCAGCTGAGACTGCTGTTGCCCCGGAGGCCCCAGCTGAGACTGCTGTGGCCCCGGAGACCCTTGGGGCTGAGACCTCAGAGGCCACAGAGGCAGCGGCCGAGGCAGGGGAGATCCAGGAGCCTGCTCCCCCTACTGGTGAGGCTGAGGCAGCCGAGAGTGCCACCAGCCCTGGAGAGGAGAAGCCTGCTGTGAGTGACAGTTAGCTATTATATACAGTAACTGTGACATAGCACGCTCATCATCACAAGCATGGGCCATTCCCCAGCCATCTATGGTTCAAGTCATCATTATAGGCATAGTTGTATGCCACTGTTTAAGTTAACCTTTTGATCACCGTCATCATCGTATTTATTATCATCGTCGTCATCATCATCAGTGTTTTCATCATCATCATACTCATCATCATCATCATGTGTTTTCATCATCATAATCATCATCGTCATCATCATCATCATCATCCCCGTCATCATCGTATTTATTATCATCATCATCATCACCGTCATCGTCATCATCATCAGTGTTTTCACCTTTGTCATTATCATCATCATCATCATCCCATTCATTATTTCCATAGAGATGCTTTCTGATTTCATATGTTTTACGATTATTACTTTGCCATTACGACACCTTCCTTGTCATTCAATGATGTTCTCCTTGATTTTAAAACTTCCCATTTTAAACTTGTTACTCTTTGCTTTGACATCAATCCACTTTACAACTCCCATTTCTTGTTTTATAACAAATCTGTACATCATGGCAGGATTCGAGTCTTAAATATTACATTCTTCTCTAACTCACTCTTGGTAAAGTCCACTGTGGGGTCTCCAGTGACATCTGCAGAGCCTGAGGAGGCTGCACCCACTGAGGTATGTGTAAGATCCTCCCCTTTGTCCACCCACGCCCTCCCATTACTGTTCTGTGACTCGGTTCTGTGAGTGTTGCATTGAAGTCCACCTTATTTCAGTAGCCGGGCCCAAACCCTACCATCAACATTGTCAAAGTGTCAAGAGGGTGAGAGATTGTTCGTGTCGAGACTTTGTGAATAACTGATTGTATTGAGTGCATCATATTCATCTTCGGTGGGAAATGTGTGTGTGTGTCTGTGTCATGCCTCGGAATGTGATTGAAGAATTAGGGAGGTATTTTTAATGATCTACTATACGTTTCTGTTGAGCTGTCATGCATGCACATACATTCATAAAACATTTAGTATTCTACTATTCTTGTGTATTCCAAAATATGATTACGTTCTGTTCCTATGAGGCTGGTATGTGTTGTTTTATACATTGTGACTGACTGGTTATATTTGAGTGTATATATTGTAGTGAACTGTTCAGTCCTAGTCAAGGTTTGAACCTGGGTCAGGCACTAGCCAGATCACAAAGATGTCATGTAGTAATAAGGATGTGGACACCTGCTCGTCAAACATCTCAGTCCTAAATCATGGGCATTAATATGGTGTTGGTCTCCCCTTTGCTGCTATAACAGCCTCCACTCTTCTGGGAAGGCTTTCCACTAGATGTTGGAAAATTGCTGCGTGGACTTGCTTCCATTCAGCCACAAGAGCATTAGTGATGTCGGGCACTGATGTTGGGCAATTAGGCCTGGCTCACAGTTGGCGTTCCAATTCATTCCAAAAGTGTTCAATGGGGGTTGAGGTCAGGACTCTGTGCAGGCCACACCGGTCTCGACAAACCATTTCTGTATGGACCTCGCTTTGTGCACGGGGGCGTTGTCATGCTGAAACAGGAAAGGGCCTTCCCCAAACTGTTGCCACAAAGTTGGAAGCACAGAATCGCCTAGAATGTCATTGTATGCTGTAGCGTTAACATTTCCCTTCACTGGAACTAAGGGGCCTAGCCCGAACCATGAAAAACAGCCCCAGACCATTATTCCTCCTCCACCAAACTTTACAGTTGACACAGCATTGGGGCAGGTAGCGTTCTCCTGGCATCCGCCAAACCCAGATTTGTCCCTCGAACTGCCAGATGGTGAAGCGTGATCAATCACTTCAGAGAGCGAGTTTCCACTGCTCCAGAGTCCAATGGCGGCAAGCTTTACACCACTCCAGCCGACGCTTGGCATTGCGCATGGTGATCTTAGGCTTGTGTGCGGCTGCTCGGCCACAGAAACCCATTACATGAAGCTCCCGGCGAACAGTTATTGTGCTGACGTTGCTTCGAGAGGCAGTTTGGAAATCAGTAGTGAGTGATGCAACCGAGGACAGACAATTTTGACGTGCTACGCACTTCTGCACTCGGCAGTCCCATTCTGTGAGCTTGTGTGACCTACCACTTCGTGGCTGAGCCGTTGTTGCTCCTAGACATTTCCTCAATACAATAACAGCACTTACAGCTCTAGCAGGGCAGAAATTTGACGAACTGACTTTTTGGATAGGTGGCATTTTATGACGGTGCCACGTTGAAAGTCACTGAGCTCTTCAGTAAGGCCATTCTACTGCCAATGTTTGTCTACGGAGATTGCATGGCTGTGTGCTCGATTTTATACACCTGTCAGCAACGGGTGTGGCTGAAATAGCCGAATCCACTAATTTGAAGGGGTGTCCACATACGTTTGTATATATTGGGTATGTGCCTTGGGGGAGTTGCTAATTTACGAAGGGTAATTACAATTCCTGGTGTGTATATATGGCTCTTATTGTCATGCTTGACATGGGAGTGGAGGAAATGTCCGTAAATACATTTACTTTCTTCCAAGTGCCAACCATGTATCAAAACTACTTAAAAAGATGAATAGGCCTTAATTTCATTCATTTGATTTTAGATTTTCATTGATTTTAGAAATAATAATTTCCTTGAACAAGAGCATATCCCACTGAATATAATAACCACATTTTAATTGGTGTATTTTCCTCTGTTCATATTTTCTGTGCAGAATATTGATACACCAATATATTTTACCTGGGTTAAGATAGCCTGTACCTTGAAAAACTGGACCAAACATTTCCTTGCCAATGCAATGACTGTATGAAATTATTCCTCAAAGCCTGCATCTCAGTACTTTACGTTCTGCACTTGCATGAATGCTATACTAACAATATCAGTGAAAAGGAGAACTGCTGTTATGTATGTAATTGATGCTGATTTAAGCTCAATATATTCCATGCAAACAGCCCAAATGCAAACTCAATGCTAAAGGTTGTACTGAAAAAGCTTAGGTAGCTAGTTGCATTAAAACCTCTCTTTGCGCTTAGATCCTCCCTGTTGAAGAGGCTGAAAAAGCATCCCCCAGCGAAGCAGCTCCCCCGGTAACTATAACGTATGCCAAATTTGGCAAAAGGGAAGCTCAAATCATATTTGGCCGAGTGTCTTGTGTGAGGTTGAACCTCAAGTCATATTTTACAATGTTTTGTAGAATCTTATAAGCTTTAAGGTTGAGTCATACAGGGCAGAGTGGTATGACATTGAGGTCTGACTCATTCCAAAGGACACAGAGGATGCTATTAAAACAAACCCATAATCCCACAAACCTTGGATTTCATGTGCCATTCAAAATGAGCCTTTATAATGTAGAAATTTTACTCAATGTATTGTATTGACATAAATTGTCACTTTCCATCATTAATTAAATGCCTCATCCCGTGGGGCAGGGGAAATAATATTTTTTCCAGACAACAGTATTCACCAGATTCTGGGTTTGTTTGAATAGTACACAGTCTCATATGAGCTTGGCTATATCCCCAAACCCCTGTTCCATGTATTCCACCTAAAGCTCCATGCTTTAAAATCCCAGAATCTAACATAAATTGATGGTTATGTCACACAGTTATGCCACATTATGACTCTTTATAGAGCATGATATACAGTTATAGATGATTTGTGAAGCATCTATGTAGTGCTTATGAAGCCTATATGAAGGATTTATGAAGCCTTCATAAGATGCACTTTAAATAGCAGGACCCATGTCCCTATAGCAAAGGAACCAATGCCATGTGAAATTGAAATGAATCATCAGCCATCAGAAGTCTCAACCTTTTGAATCTTGAAATTCCACAAAGTTATAAACTCTCATATACTGTACGTATATGAGTTGAAATATCAAAATGCTATATTGATTTAGAAGAATAGCAAATAGGTCACAGGCGGTTGGTGGCAGCTTAATTGGGGAGGACGGGCTCATAGTAATGGCAGGAACAGAATAAATGTAATGGTATCGAACACATCAAACACGTTTTCCATATGTTTGATACCATTCCAACCATTATTATGAGCCGTCCTCTGTGAAATAGGTGTACACAAAATTAAATGAAACATACCAAATAACTTTAAATAACCAAACTACATCTGGAGAGTCGAGAGAGGCCATCCTTGAGGCTTGAAAATGATTTTTTTCCCCAGATGTTCTTGTGATTGTGAATCAACTCTCTTTTGTACGTAGGAATCCGTTCCGACCCCGGAGGAAATGGAGTCCCCTGTGGAGGAGACTCCGGTAATTATTATCCCAAGATTCCCAACCCCCATTCCCAAAACCCTAATATCCATGATCCAACATTTGCCTTATTCAACACAGTTCAGTAATTGGGACCTGTCCGAAAGTCCATTGATTCGCTTAAGCCGGAAATAGGCTTCAGAAAATAGTAGTGATTGTTGTGGTTATACTTTACTTTCATATTACAAGGTAGATGTTTTAAGAACATAGTAGAAGGACATGAGGCTTTTAAATTTAAAGGCCCACCTCAGGGAAATTTTCTGCACTTATTTAGAGTCATTACTGTCCTAGAGCAGAAATTCTCATTTAGGTTCCACCTCGAAGACTGACGCAGGTTGCTAATACATATTCAGGAATTGGGGGTGGGAACGTTGTGGTGATTTCCACATGTAGCAGAGAAATAACGACAAATAGGTCACTGACTGACAGCTGGCAGTTTAACTAGCTAGCATGCTAACCTTAGCCAGCTAATGAAAGTTTTGTGAGCACCATTTCAGTTAAGATAGTCAATCATTATTTTCACCTGACTAACAGTATGTTAGTATGCCTAACTATTGAACGGTTTGGAGATTGCTCTTTAGGATTAATGTAATGTTAAAACATTTGCAAACCCTGCACACCCGCGGACCCAGGCCAAGCAAAACTAATTAGCCTAAAACGTTAAGGGTCAAAACCGTTCATCTTGGGGCGATGGGGGGAGTGGGGATCTAAAATGCAATCATATCACACAATTTTACCATTCTGTCGAGGCGTC